CCAGGAAAACCCCGGCGGCGGGGATGTGTTCTTCCCCCCCCCCCCCCCCCCCCACACACACACACACACACACAGTAGTGTCCAGTAGAGTACCTTTACAGTACTGCAGCGCTGTCTGCATGGCACACATCCTCTCACTGTTCCAGCAGCTCCAGGCCTGAGCTGAGCCCTCCGTCTGCTCAGACTGTCTCCTCTGCCACAGGTAGACCTCCAGATGGTTGTCCAGCAGGAACAAGGCTGAAGAACACAGGGAAAAGACTATGATTCAGACATGGGTGAGTTAGTAAATAAATAATAACAAACCCACAATATAAAACTTTAAAAGTAGCCAAGAGGATGACGCATAAAAGCTAAAAACTTACTGTTACTATACACCTAGGCAAATGCTAGACCTAGCTAAAATAAATGAGCTAAATTAACCTAAAAAGGAACCCAACACAGCTAGCTTTAAAACAGATTCTCACTTATCACAAAGATAATCATCTTTAATGCCTTTAAAATGTTCCCATAGCAGTAAGAAAAAAACAGAGAAACAAAAATGATTCAGAAAAAGGTATAAAAACCTAAACAAAAATAACTAAAAAAAAGAACACAATAAAATAAATGTTACCCAAATATGTATGGTACAACTAAGCAATGAAAAGATCAAACCTGGTCAGACATAGTTAGGCGAAAAGATGTTAGCCAATTTTACAGTATTAGTTAAATTAGTCAAAACAGCTAACGTCGCTGGACTGCAGCTAAAGATCACCACAGACAGGCTACATAATTCACTAAAATTACCCTTGAAATGATCCAAACCACAGCAACAACTTTAATAGTTTGGTAACACTTTCTCAAAGCTTGGTGCATTACACGACGGTGCTCCGTCTTCAACAGTATCTCATCAGTTCTCCTCTCACCGGGCTGAGGGGCAGCGTAGAGACTCTCCTGGACAAAGGGCATGGCCATGACCAGCCCCGGCAGTCGACTCGGACTCTGCAGCTCTTCTCCCTGAAAGCTTCCAGATGATGCACTCAAATGAAAGAGCCGAGGTGTGAAGTTGTACTTCCCCGGATCTGACAGGAGACAATTTGAGTGAATACCGAGGGTGTGTGTCCTGGGGGGAGATGACTAAAGTGGGTGTGATTTTCTACCTTGCAGCATGCAGTCGTAAGCCTTCCTGTCCATCTGTCCCAGTGCTGTCCAGAAGTCTGTAGGCTCTGAGCCCTCGTCTACTGCCTGCACCTTCACTGGGGAGTTTTTACCGAGCCCCAGCTCTGGAGGGCATCTAACTCACACACACACACACACACACACACACACACTCACAGTAAACCTGCACCAACCAATGTTTCTGTGTGTGTACCTGACTTACATCTGAGTGAGTCGTTCCACTGCCCTTTTGGCGACCTCTCTGGTGCTGGGCTGAGCTTTACAGCCAGTCCACAGGTATAGCACCCCCTTCTGGCTGTTCAGCAGTACATCAGCACCCCTGGAACGCAGACCTGCACAGCAGCAGTCCACCTCTAACAGAGATCCTTCCTCAGGCAGCTCTCCTCGCACACAGAACAGACGCCACTCTGTGAAATTGATTAAAAAAAAAAGTTATTTCACATCATTAAAAACTTTGAAAGAAAATGTGAGGGTGAGGGTGAGGTTATGAGCAAACTGCACCTGCAGAGGGGGCTTCATCGTGCCTGCCTCTGTGAATGACCAGGCCTCCCTGGAACAGCTGGAGAAAGCAGGGAGGCTCCTGTCCCTGAGGTACCAGCACCTGGAGAAGGAGTGGGTGTAAATCTCAGTTTGGTAACAGAAATGTGTGTGAAAGGATAAATGCCTGCATGCACAGATGCATCATGGTAAGAAATGACCCCCCCCCACCTGTGCCTCCTCAGAGTTCTTCATGCCAATGGACAGAAAAGCAGCGGTGTCCCGTCCACTGGCGCTGGAGTGACGTCCACGCCACAGGAAGAAAGCCATCTTTTCTTTCTGTCCAGCATCAGAGCCGCAGTCATATGAACCGTCCATCTGTTTGTCTGCAGCACAGAAGGACGGAACTCTTCACTTTTTTTTTTAATGTTACCCACAGTTAAATGACACTACTGTTGATGACAAACTGAAATGATTGAAAAGTACAGCGTCACAGACCAACAGCGCTGATGGTGTAAGTCCAACGAACAACGTAAGAGTCGCCCTCGTAAAGCTGCCCCGTACTCTCCACCGGAACTTCGCTGTCGTCAAACTCCTGGACGTGCCACGTGTCCACCGCCAGCGTTTTCAGCTCTTTCCACGGGCCGTCCTCCAGCGTGAGGACACCGTAGCCTCTCGGGACATCAACACCTCCCACCGTGTTATGGACCAAAGCATCTCCGTCCAGTGACTGACCTGACACCAGAGCTTTGGCATCACAGGGCGTCAGGGGGTTTGACTGAGGTAGCAATGATTCAGGCTGTGGAGACGAGCACAGACGATGAGACCCTCGGTTATTTCTCTGTATTTCTACATGAAAACACGACTGTGGAAATGGAATCAGAGGTGAACCTTTGTCTCGTGGTCCACCGCAGCAGCTCCGGCCGTGCGTCCACTCCGGTCGGACCAGTCTTTGAACTTCTCCTTGAACAGAGCTGTCTCACTGTGCTCTGAGACGACACCAAAGAGAGACCAGTCTGGACGGCCCTCACCCCTCCTGTAGAGGACGAATAAAGATCAACAGCTGTGTTGAATTTCTCTGGCCTCTCCATCTTTCTCCACTTCATTTTTTTCCCTTCCCTCTGCTGTCTCCATAATTCTCTTCCTCTTTGCTGAGTCAGACGGCTGAAAACTTAACCTGGATCTACTGGAGACGCCTTTTACTAAAAAGGATATTTTTCTCCCCACCAAAATGTTGCTCAGTCATTGATTTAAAACGCTTTTCAATGATATTTGTAAAAATTATTCTGCTTCACTTTATATTGACTGTATATAAATCTCCAGTTTTTCAGGAAAATAATTTGAAATTGAATTTCTAATTTCAAAACTTTGAAGTCCATTGAGACAAACATGTTTTGGGAATTTGGGCTATAACACAAACTGGACAGGAAGTGACATGTGACATGTCAATAAACTAAAATAGATGATGTTTATGTCTCATGATGTTGTGCTAAACTATTTATATATCCACTGTAATTTTCCTAAATCTCTCATCTACGTTGTTGTTGTCTGTCGTACCGTACAGAAGGCTAATGTTCGACAACCACGAGCTTTGCTCAGCTGCGTCTCCTCCCACTACTGTTAAAGTGCCGGCGGCGTGGACTCACAGCTGCGTGCTGGGGTTACTCTGCGTGGGATCCAGTGGGTTGACTCGACAGTTGCTGTAGTCGTAAGCTCCGACCCACACCTGCTGAGTCAGCTGCAGAGCGACGGCTCGACCGCTGCCGGAGACGTCGTGTCCGTGCCACAGGTACACTTCACTGCCGAAATCAAACACCAGGGCCTGGACATACACATGGACACGACTGTGACACCTCATCTGTTTAAATGCACCAATCAGACAAAAGGGGGAGTAAGTGTCTGACCTCAGTGGACTTCAGGAGGGACACCGTGGGGACGGTGGCCCAGGCCTGTTCATGAGGCACCAGTCTGTTGTCTACCAGTCTGTACACACAGTTGGACTCCATCACAGCCAGCTCATAGAGCTCATCCTCCTCTGGTGCACCAGCCCCTGGAATAGAAAAAATACTTTTCCATCCTGATCTGGTTTGTCACGTTTTATAATGTTAATAAAAAAAATATATTGAATTAACCATAGATCTATAATGATGGTAAGTCTGGAAGGGCAGAAAGATGGCGCCAGGTGCAAAATAAAACTTTTATTAGAGTGAGTGTGGTATGAGGGCGCCCTCTAATGGTAGGTGGGAGATTCTGATTTCCATTAGCATCGGTGGAGTCATGTAGTTGATACACATTTCGACTATGTCTTCTTTATAAAATGATGCCAGCTTATTGAATAGTGATCATATTTAGAGACAAAGCAGGAGTGAGCACCTGATTGGTTGAGAAAATGTATGAAAATCCATGAACCAAAGTGGCTCCAAATCAATCTGAGTCAAACAGAGGACATTCTAATATTTTAGATTCAGAGAAACATTTTGACCTCTCACCTCTGTACTGTGTTCTTCCTCCCAACAAATCCCAGAAGTCCGCGGCCTCGCTGCTGTCAGAGTTCACTCCTTCCTCCAGGTGGACGAGCTGAGGGGCCTGACAGCCCAGATCCCTGTGACTGTGGATGAACGAAGCCAAGTCCAACGCCTAGGAAACAAGCCACTCTGTCAGCTTCACACACAGTGAAGACAGTGATGGTTATAGTAATATGATGATGATGGTTGTATTCTGTATTGACCAGGGCTGAATCATAGAATACAATAGAGACAAAAAATCGGATGTTGTACTTAAGATCACACAAAATTGTGTCACTCCTTCACTGATACCTTAGCTTTCTCTTTGTCACTGGCAAACTCTCCACTCCACGCAATGCAATGCTCAGGAGTGACCAGCAGGAAGCAGTCTCCACTGTTGAGTGAGCGAGCCGAGGGCTCCACCAGACGGGCCTGGACATGCCAGCTACCTGTCACCACAGATATTAACATTCATAAAAAAACACATGACAACACAGACACCGTGACACAGACGACAACACAGTCCACAGTCTCTGACCTTTGACGTGGATGAGCATCAGTCTGCTGTAGGGAGGATACGACTCCGCACTGACCTGTGAACTGGACCCTGAGGAGTTCTTACGCTCTGTCAACAGAAACAATCATCGGGGGATTTAGCAGTGATAAAACCTTCACCAAGAAATGGAATAAAACAACAACAATAACAACTGAACTCACTCTTCTCTGCCTGAGCTCTCTCCTCAGCACTTGCACTGATTCGGTCTCCCATGTAGTCCTGTCTGATGTCCTCTCTGGCAGCCAGGGCCCTCAGAGGGTTCCTGGAGCCCTGGGTTCGACGAGACGGACGCACAGAGCGCCTGTGCTCCGCTACCGCTGACGACAGTCTGAACACACAGATACACGTTACAGTCAAACTCTGAAGTTGAATCAAAGTTAATCCACCAATACTGAATTCAGTTAGATCTGCTACAACAAACAGGAAGTTCTCATCTAACAACACTATTACCTAACCTGTCACTGTAGTTCTTACCAGCGTCACATAATACTGTATATGTGTATATATAAACACTCCTTTAACCTAAAGTTTCCTCCTTCGAAGACGGTCTTGAGACATTTTAATTTTTTTTTTTAATTGGTTCATAATAATAGCTAATAATCAATGACTCACATGTGAGTGTTGGTCTGGCAGACGACACCCAGGTCCTGCTCACTCTCCGCCGTTGTCACGTCCCCACAGGCTGGAGGAGCACAGGCAGACGGAGGCGGCGGATCACTGTAGAAACCTCTGTCAAACGTACAGGGTCCACAGACAGGTGTCTCCTCCTGCTTCATCTCCTCAGGAGGCGCTGATAGCGAGGAGTTCTGCACAGCTGAAAGGGAGTAGGAACAACCAAGAGGTGAGATTTATTAAGACTTAAATCATATTAAGTAGTAGAGGGTGTTCTTGTTCACCTTCAGACTCCGTCACAGACTCCCCCGGCATCTCTGTGAACCAATGACAACAGATCCATTAGAGAAACTGATGAAGTCGGGGCTAAAACTCTAAAAGGAAGAAGTGTTCACCTTCATCTGTACAAGGCACAGCTTCAGCTGAGTGTTTCTTATTCTGGGATGTCACGTTAGCATCCGGTTCTGGAGACCTGAGACCTAAACGGTGACATTCCATGTTGGTGAGAATGTATGGTTTATACTTAAGGATATGTACAGGTGATGGATTAAAGAAGAGCAAAAATACTGACCTCTCTTGCTCCTGTGTCCAGTTTCCTTCTCTTTTCTTTCATTCTGTCCATTCACTTCCTCAACTTTGTCCTGAGAAGACACGTCCTCCACTCCTTTGACCTTCAACAGAGAATAACATCAGAGTTCTTTAGTTATTTAGGTTGTTTTATTCCAATATGTCCTTATGAGGATTAAAGATATCTTCACATCCTAAAACGGTTACCTTCTGTCTCCACTGAGGTGGAGTTGGGTTGTTGGTTGGAGAAGAAACTTCTTGTGCTTCAAATGACAGATTTGTCTGATCATAAAGTAAAAAGGAAAAAAAAAAAGTTAGATCATTGTATTTCTAAAATGGTGTGAAAAAACATTAGAAAAAAATCTTAAATTAAGTATTTGACATTCTTTCAAAACATGCTTTTAGGACATTCTTAAAATTGCAGATTCAACAGAATTAGGCAGATGGAAGGACAAACATTTTTGTAAAATTTTGAACTTTTTCTGGAGAGACACCTCAGAGGCCTGATATCCAAATAAAATAAAACAAAAATAAGATTTTAAGTCTCACATTATTATTTCATGGTGGGTGGGATTCAGCCCACGGGCCGCCACTTGATTATCATTAAGCATTTGTTTGGACATATACAGATGAAATATACAGTGAAAAAACATAAACTACATAATAATTGACAATTGTTACTTTATGGTTCTCTGTAAAATAGTGGAGTTGTAGTGAAGGTCTAATATATTCAACCATCCATTAAAAAAAAAAAATCACACCTATGTTCAATTAAGAGTGGGGTTTTTGGTAAAAACTCACATGCTCACTCAGGGAGAAAATGCAAACTCCTTACAGAAAGATCAACCTGAAAACTGACTAACAAACCAGTGACCATTGCACTCTAAAGGCCATCGTTTCAACAACATTTGCCACAGTGTGGCCTATACTACATCAGATTTGACAACCGCTGGTACAGAACAACAAAGTCAGCCTCACATCCTTAATGTGAGACGACACAGCAGCTCTGACATCTCTCACTTTAAAAAAAAAAAGTCTTGTTAGTGTGAGAGGAATTTCACACAGCAGCTGCAAAAACCACGTCAACCTGAATCTGTGAAATGACAATAAAAAACCATCTCCACTGCACAAAAAAAAACACTGCACAAGAAAAGAAGCAGTGATAAAAACCACCCATGCACAGGCAGTTACCTGGTTGAAACACATGATATACTGAGGCGTACTGCAAGTAAAGACTGAGGCGAAAACAGGTTCCTGAGAGAAATGGGTTTGGTGTCAGGACTCAGAGTGGCCAACGCCGGTCAGAACGGTACAGATTTAACCAGGTGAGCTGCGGTGGTTTGTTTGGACTTACCCAGCACATTGGACCGACTTCGTGGTTTTCTGTTCCTTCCTACAAAAGACACAAACAAATAAAATGTGTAAAGCTCAGGAGCACCCATCAGACAACCAACACAATCGTTGTGTGTTTACATGCCACATTAAACTGTGCAGAGTCACAGAGTCAGACCTCTCTCACTACATAAACACACACGACCTGTGTGTATTTCCTCCAGGGTAACTCAAAACTGATCTGGAGACATTTAGCGCGTACCAGGACCGTGGTACTGTTCCTAAGCCACGCTGGATCTGGTTTCAGCCAGCGGCATCACAAATGCCAAAAAGTGACCACGAGCCTATTCCTGAGGAAGAGTGAACTCTGTCACCCCCCCAAACTGTGACTCGGACTTTTGTGAGAGGACAGATAATGAAACAAAGACACAACATTAGAAGATGAGACTAAGTGAGATCACATTAGATTAGAATGACAGTAAAAAATAATGAAGGCAGGGATGACATTAGATACAATAAATGTGCAGATAAGATATGAGATGAGAAAAGATGAGGTGACGAGCGATCAGATCTGGAAACAAGGAGATGATGTAAGGAGTAAGATGAGATGGTGAGATGAGATTAGAGGCAGTAGAATTAACGAGATTACAAATCCTGACTGATAGAGTTTATGTGGCATTCATCTTCTTATTTAAAACCCCTGGGCAAACAGACTGAGAGCAGACCATGGGCCCCAGAGACAACAGACAACACAGACTTTTCACATATTTACAGTAGCAGCATGTCTATGCTGTGTTTCTTACCGTGGTCACACTGGTGTTGGTTGTTTCCAGGTGTAGGTGAGGGCGGTCCACCAACGTGTCCTGAACGTGTCTTTTACCTCTGGCATCTCCGCTGCATCTTCTTGAACGTCATTGATGAAACATTACCAAAAAGGCAACAGATGAATGCACTACAGAGCTTTTCTATCATATTTGTTATATTTTTGTCTATGACTTACAGGTCTTTGTTTGTGGCACCTGGACTGGATTTATCGTCCTGAAGAATGTCCTGCTCTGGTGAAACCCTTCTCGGTGTACAAGCGATGGTTTCCCTCCGGTTTCTTGTCCTCTGTCTCCAGGGAGGAGCAGTCACCGAGCCTCCCACCACACCTGAGGCTGCGCGCCTCTGTCTACGTGGGGGCGCCACGATTTCCTGCATCGCTGCTCTTTCACAGCCTCCACCATTCTGTTCATGGCTCTTGGACAGAGGATCCTTAGGACCGCTGTCCATCTCATTCCATGCTGCGTCTTCAGTCCGGCTCTTCTTCAGGATTCCTCTCAAGCTGGGCACAGGGTCAGGTTGGCCAGGACTGGGCTCAGGTTCTGGCTTTGGCTGAGCGTGACGAACCTCACTGGGTTTAAGGTTGACAGATGAGGCCTGCTGTCTGTCAGAGAGGTGAGCAGACAGATGGAAGGCAGGAAGTTGTACAGGGCCTTTCTCCAGCTACAGGAAACACAGAGACATGGAATCATACGAGTGTGTTCTCTTCAGAACCTGTGGAATCAAACAGAGAGAGCTTCTTCTTACCAGGTTGACCTCGTCCACAGTAATGGGCTGTGTTCGGTACCGAGCCCCCTTCTGCCTTCGCCTCTCTGGTGGTCCATCAGGGTGGCTCGGACAGCTCCTCCCCGGTAGAGACAGTTTATTGAAAAGGGCCAACTTCTCAGTCATGCTGAGTTTGCAGCTCTCATCAACATCTTCTGCTGGTTCTACATCTCCACTCTGGGACTCCGTAGATACAGCTGGTTTGGGTTCACTGAGGAAGACAATATATTAAATTAAATATTTAAACAATATATAATTAAATGGAGCAAAAGATTCATTTGAAAATACTTATATTTAAACTAAATAACAAAAACACAATAAAAATAGTTTGTGGTGTTCATTTTCAGCAAACATATCTCCTCAGATATACCATCTGACAGACACAAGATGTGAACCTCCAATTATTCACACTTTAGAGTAGAGATATCAGAGTTGCACTCAGCCTGCCAGTTTCATGAAATGCCCCGGCAGACCACCCCCACCCACCCCCACCCCTTTAGTCTCCAACTTTATTTTAAGGTCACAGGGATGTCTGTTTCTCTGTCTTTAGAAACCTTTAATATAATATAATGTAATGTAATGTAATGTAATATAATATAATGCCAGACTGCTATTTCTTTCATGCATTATAGAAAAAAATATTTAAGCCATATGTGTCAAACTCAAGGCCCAGGGGTCAAAATGCAGCCCTCCAAGCAGTTTTGTGTGGTCCACGAGAGCTTAAAAAGTATTTAGTAAAGTCCATGCAGCAGAGTTTCCTAACCTAAGAAACTAAAAGTTTTTATAATCAATCAAATAATAATCAATAGTAGAAACATGAATTATTCTGTTATGGAGTAGTTACATCTATACCAGTGGTCCCCAACCTTTTTTGTTCCAAGGACTGGTCAGCCAGTACCACCTGTGACCTATGGAATGACCTATGGACTGGTACTGGTCCACGGACCGGGGGCCCCTGATCCATACAGTCTTCCAGTTACAACCCTAGGGCCATATTCTAAACAGATAAACCTTCCTTCTCATCATTACACATCCATGAAGCCCACCTGATAGCCACCATTTCCTCAGTGGTTATTGGCTGAGTGAGAAAGCGCTGGTCGTTGCCCCGCCGCACCCTGCGCTCATGACAGACGCCGCCCGACCGCGGCTTCAGAAAGGCCGAAGCTTCAGGGGATGAGGACTTCTCCAGCTCCTGCCAAGCGACAGACATTTACGTACTGTATCAACAACATCATAAGAAAGGCTACGAAAATTTAAACGCTGTCTACTGATGTTGGCCGTATAGAGGTGGGAGGGTGTGAGGGCGGGGGGCTAAACCTGGGTGAGCTGGTGAGGAAAGTTCTACTGTAAGCTGCTGTGGTCTTGGTACACATGGAGTTGAATGCCAGTCCAACAGATTGCGATGTAACCGGAGCTGCAGCAGCTTCAGTTACCTCGCTGCCCGCCTCCACAGAGCAGCAGGCTAATTATAACACAGCTGCTCTGGTTTGTCCTGCTAATAGAGCGACCCGCAAATGTTCACCGGCGCTCCGTGACTCAAAAGTGTGCAGGAGGTAAAATGGAGGAATAGGCACCGTAACAGTGGAGGTTAAAAAAAAATAAATTACAGCACGTCTTAACCTCAGTTTGCAGTTAGTGGGAGAACAATTTGGAGAAAAATAAAATGATAAAACAAAAAAAATGTGATCAATATAAAACATAAATGGGAAATATTGAAGATAAGAAGAATGAGGATGCTGAAACTAACATGGAAAAGGCAGGACAAGAGGTCAAAAGAATGGAACTGTACTTCACAGATAAAAACATATAAACAGATCGAGAGTGTGGCTGAAGTTCTCCAGGACAACACCTGTTTGATAGGCAGTCAACAAGATCAGGTTGTGTTGTGTGTGCTCTCTGTAAGGTGAGCAGCTGAGGTGAGCGTCGCTGATGCATGAAGCCGTTATACTGTACATGAGCGGGCTGAGCTACTGGATCACCACGTGTACCGTTTTTAAGTTGCAGAACGTGGTAATTGATGCTTTGAAAATGATGAGACATAATGAAGACGTTGATGTTAATGCTGAGAAAAGCCCTGATGACCAATCATCTTTGGAGCAGGTGTTGGGACAGACAGTCCCAGTGAGAAGAGAGAAAATAAGCAGCTCTTAGAGATCATGTTTCAGTGAGGACTTACTTTGAACAAAGACATCTTGGCTGCTACACTCATTTTGGCTCTGTCGTCTGTTTTCACATCTGCTACGAGAGGAAAAAGACATAAATCGTCTGAACACAGAGATATATATACAGTAGAAATGAACATGCCGAAAGATGACGGCCCACAGGTGATAGAGGTCTCTGCTCCGCTTTTACATGAAGTATAGAAAAAAGACATTTTCACTAGTATCAACTTTCACGTGAATATACTGAATATACATTTAACTATCATCACAATCATAATTATTTTTCATGCACAGGAAATATATAATAATAATAAATACATTTTAACAAATTTAATTAAAATATGTACATTGTTACTCAGATAAAACACGTAAAAAAGAATGACAAAAATGAGCAGCTGGTTAGCATACAAACATAGCAATTAGCTTTACAGAATCTTAAACTGAAGAAGTAGGGCAAACTATACATTCTCTCTGTAAATGTTGTGACCTGATGAAGATTTAAAAATTATGGGTTAGTTTTCAGTAAATACTTAGGTCAGTATGTGGGCTTCGAAGCGCTTTTCTTTTCTGATCTAACATACTTAGGTTTGATTAACACTTCATGTTTATGTTGATGTAAATACACTGTAGATTAAAAGAATATTAATCTGATCCATGACATACCAACGCCACTCTTTCTCTGTTGTCAATCATGACAACAGAGGGTGGGGTTAAGGAGCCACATCGTTCTTTGTGGGAGCGTTAATCTGTCATCACTATGATAAAACATTATGAAGCTAAATATACAAACACATTTATTTCACTGGCTAATAAATACTTTTATAGACCCACTCTATAAATATTTTCTTTAACCGTGGACATCACATAAATACTGTAGATCGTTCGCTGCTGTCAAACATTTATTGGTCAGGCTGTCAATGTCAATCTTTATATTTCAGAGTCATTCTGTAAGCACTGGCCTCAGTGAGTAACAGAAAACCAGTATTTCTAGTCTTTCTAAAGAGCTGTACTACCAGGCAAATCATTTGTTTAACCTGACATACAGAACCAAATTAATTTGTCAGAAGCCAAACACATCCAATCATATTTTTAACCCAAGCAATGCGAAGTAGAAAAGGTATGAAAATCTTTATAAAGAACTTTACCTGCACTGGTTTCCTCCTCTGCGTCCATAAGCCTAGAAGAGGACAAACATGAACACGATGAAATATGCGCATGGACATGATGCAGACTTCTATCTCCTCATCTTATCTTCTGCACTGAGCCACCAGAGCATGTCTTTGTAAGATGGTGGCATATTTGCATCCTAGGTAAAGCAACAAGATTATGACTAAATGTCAGACTGCAAACACATGTAAACCACACCGCCCAAAAACATTTCATGCAAAAGTGCTGTGCAAAAAAACCCAAAACAACACGCACTTCTAAGATGCCGTGGCAAGTTGAATAGTCTACAACAGTGGTTCTCAAACCTTTTCTACTCTGTACCACCTGAGAAAACACTGAGCTCTCTGAGTACCACCATGATGACCAACATTAGAATTCCCCTGCTCGTTCCACGTTCAACTTGCAAGTGATCCCATGATTCCGTGCTGCCTGTGCTTAAATGAGCAACGGACTTGCATTGCAGCAAACAACAAGTAAATAAATAAAAAGACCAGACATTCTATTTCATAATCTCACAAGTAGCTATACATTTTTTTTCTAAATGTTGTATTAATTGTGCATAATATGTTTCAGATTTATTCATTTAAAAATATGAATTTTCGTCATGAGAACCACTGGTCTACAATGATGTAACAAGAAAACAGTCTCTTAAGCACATACCCACTGCTCTCCTCCACCTCATTGGCTGTTATTGGCTGTGTCCTGAAGCGGTCGCTGGTCTTGCGACTCCCGACAGAACCACCAGGGAGGTATCGGCGAGTGCGCCGCCGACCACCGTCAGGGCCAGGGTTCACGGCCAGGTCCAGGGAGGATGTGGCACGCCCATGGTCGGGACAGCTAGTGTGTAAATGAATAAAGAAAAGAAGGAAGAAATAGTTGAGGTGAGAATTAGGGTGACGGATGTACAGAGACTGTAAGTCTCACACACACATGCAGGGAACCCTACACTTTCTCAGGCTGTTCTTCACTCGCCGTCTGCTCCAGAAGGGCACTTTTCAACTGGCCTACCGACACCCGAGTGTGGAGCTGCGGGACGTCGTGTCCAGGGAGGAGGTGCCCCTCTCCACTTAGTAGGCTAACAGAGTCCTGGGAACCCTGCCTGGAGTTAGTGTAGTAACGGAGGGAGGTGAGGAAGCAAGAAATCGTGGGTTGATCAATGTGTGCTAAAGAGCTTCTGAACCATTGATAGTTTGACCGGTTAGTTTGTTCTAACCGGTCATGTTAAAAACGGCCGGTTGAGGACCCAGAATAACATGCAACACAGCTCCATGTTGGGACCCACTGATTTAGACTTCAGTTTTAATTAGTAACAAAGGCTGCAGAGCAACAGGTGAAGCAAAGGACCTGGTGCCACTGAAAGGCAAAGCAAATAAAAACACAACAACAACAGTGTTTCTGTGTTCAAGAAATAAGAGAAGAATTGGATAATGTATTAACTATCCACACATATGAACATATATGCAAATATATGTTCATATGTACACACACGTATCATGTAGTTTTGACCATTTACATTGCAGAATGATGCCATTATTCAGGGGTGGCCAAACTTATTTTAAAAAGGATCCGAGTCAACAGTGTAAAAAAAATCTCTCTTCATCTAATATTAATAAAAACTCACCACACACTGATTCAGAAACACCACGTCTAAAGCTTAAGAAGTCGGGTAGAAAAGTCTAAATGCTGATAAAAGCCTAATGAAAATGACATTGCTACTAACAAAGTGTTAGCCTCATTGCTTCACAATTGTTTCAAAATTAAATTTAGCTAAAAGAAAAGGCCAAAATTAGCTAGATTGCTAAAAACAACAACGCTTGTATTTGAAAAAAACAAAGAAAAAACTATGGGACATGCAGAAAAGTAGGTAAGGTGGTTCAAAAGATATCTAAAACTTTACATAATTGTTTTCAAAGTAATAAAAAAACTAACACTAGCACAACTGGCAGGTAAAATATTAGCCTATGATAAAAGTTATTTAGAAATAGTGATTTTGAACTTGCAGGTGACAGTGTCAATATTGAACTATCCTACTCTCTATGATTATGCGCCAACTTTGCCATCGAAGATGTATCTGTTTTATTTAACAGCTAATCTGATGTGTCAAAGTGTCATGTGTGGTTTTTACAGGACTATCCTTGAAAATAAGACATCAGGTTGTACTCTGTTTTCTTCACTTTTTGAACAAATACATCAACATTCACTCCAGACAACACTCACCTTCCCTGGTAATTGGACTCTGCGGGAGCGCCTGCCTCTAATCCATTTGTAACCCTTGGTGTCCTGCCGTTAACACTGAAGCCATCTGAGTTCAACGTCCCCGTACAAGCCTGATCTTCCAGGTTGTGGCCGTCCTTCCCGTCCCTTCTCACCCACTTTGACGGTAGTTCCTCCACATTACCAAAACGTTCGGCCAGTTCCCTCCTCCTCTCGGCCTTGTAGCGAGCGATGCGCTCCGATCTGGGCTCCAGTGTGGAGTTCTCCATGGCGTCCCTGTTCTTTTACAAGGAGTTGGGGATAGAAAAGAGATTGGTTGTGCCTTAGTTCCTGTAGATTTCAGTTTCCATCAGACCTTGGTCTTTGCTGTACTCATTGGGTCCTCCAGAAAGGGTTAAAACAACTTTGTATGTTACTGAGTGGGCAGTTTGTCCTGAAACAAAAAAAATAAAATTGTCTCAGGGTGTCATCCAAAAAGAACAACACATTTAATTGCCGTTCTGGAGTCTAGATGTCCACAATAATATGGATGAACTGATGTCCTCATTATATATTAACCTTTGTTTCTCCTACATTTAAGTCTTTCTTTTCTCTCTTGCTTAACACCATGTAAGATGACCTGTGCCAGGCTGCGGTGCCACGTCGAGATCTCCCGTTGCACTGAAACTCAACACCTTCCCAGGTCAACTCCTCGCTAGATCCAGGCATTCAACTCACTGAGTCGGCAGGTTAGTTTGTCTCTACCACAAGCCCAGAAATCGCTTTCCAAATTAGCAACATGGGACTTTATAAGTCAATATAAAGGTCAGGTACAACTAAATATGGTTTTAGATTAGTTTAGGTACATATATTGATTTGAGTTTGACATGTACTCTATTTCAATCAGGCAGGAAAAAATCCCCTGTTGGCCCTATGGTTGCCTGGAGGTGAACACACAACACTAACAAAGCTAGGAGTCAGATATAAATAGTACTGATATGGCACAAATTGCATGTAAAGACAGCTGCAGACCATCAGTGAGGCTGGCAGAGGCTGGACCGCATATGTGAGCTTGCAATGTGTATGAACATAAATGTGGGTATGCACGTGTGGTTTTTTTTTTTTAAAGTGTGCATGTCAGCATTCCATGTTGCAGGAGGCACATTGTGGCCAGAACAAAGAGACGTGAGCTGTGGACTTAGTCCCACAGACGGATCTGCTGCACAGCTAAATGGCTGCGGTGGCCGTTCAGATAGTTTGAATTTTTGTCCAGAGCAGTTTGCATTGTTTCCACAGCTGGTAATCGGCCAGAAGATGGACAAGTGTACATGAAATACATGTTCATCAGCAGTGATGTGTCAATGCCTATGGCTGTGGACACAGCCTTAAGACTTAAATGACGGTCACTGTGATCACATAAAGACATCACATCAACACAAGCCATGAAGAGACTAACTTCCACGTCCAAGCCGGCCTACAGAAAGTAATGATGCAGCTGTCTTACCCATTAAAGGAGCACTCTGTTTATTTCTCTCCGAGCAGAACATAAGTAAAAGCTGCTGCACAGGAGCGATGGTCATGTGACAGGCTGAAGGACTGTCGACTGGAGGGTAGAACGCAGCACGGATCAACATGGATCATTGACGCTTAATCCAATGACACTAAGTGACAGTGGCACTGGAATAAAGACTGTGTTTGAGAGCACAACACCAACAGTCTGGGGTTTGATTATTTGTTTACCAAGATGACCAACTATTGTAGTTTTATTGTTACTTTTAAGTGGAATTTTTTGCCCAATTCTGCTTCTTAAAAGACTTGAGGTGCTCACCTGTGTATGGTCACTATTGTTTGACCATGTGTTTTCCAAACTACCCTGCTACTTTCAATAAAATCCAGATCTGGACTGCAGGCACTCTGTGTCTAGAATACAAGCGCTCGTAATTGTAACGAATGATAATAAGCATCTGCACAGATGATACACAAACTGTCACATAAATTATATAGGGCTACCATGTTTGCTATAATCAGTATAAATCAAATATACTGCGGCTTTTACTTGTCAGGCTACAGTCTAGATAGTCTTTTTTTATGTTATTCTTTAACCATGATGTTCAAATATAATTCAGAGCTACAGCTCCATTAGAGCTATTAGATTAAGATCTGGTGACTGCACTGTGTGTGTGTAAGTCATTTAGTCATTTTACAATGGAGCAATTGTCATGTTCAAAAAGCCACTTCGACACACGACCTTGTGACATGGTGCTAATAAGCAGACACCAGGGGATGGTTTAAATGTTGTCAATAAGTCATGGTCATCTAAGTGATGTATAGTTCACACTTGGAGTCATCCTCTGCTTCTAGGAGATCTGTTTCACGGGATTTTTTGCCTAAAGTGCAATGGATAAAACCAACAGATCATTCATTCATCCAACTTTTACAGTGCAGTCTCTTTTCAGGGAAACAGATGAACTGGAGTCAATCCTACCAGTTGCCAACAACTATTCACTCTACTCTAATTCCTACCTATGGTCCATTTGGTGTCCAGTTACCTAATCCTGCATGTTTCTGGACGGTGGGACCTGAGAACTACCAAAATAAATAAATAAATAAATAAATTTCTCTCACCCACAGGTACAACATGCAAACATCACACAGAACAACCAAACTGTTGATGATTATATCTCTAATTTCCACTACTTGGTCCAGTCCGTCACACTGACCTGGTCATTTTTGACCACGTCTAATGCAATGATGCCGTAATTCAGCTGGTCAGATAATACCACTAACAGGCAGAGTGAAGGAACAGGTGTGATTAATTAATTGACACTAATTAATTAACTTTCCCCATTGACGTTAGCACAAAGGGAACTGTTATATGTAACAATACAGCTTCGTCTAGATGCGTAACTCGTATGGAACAAGGGACCGAGCTGGAAACAAACTTTAATTCAACATCTTATTTCTGACGTTACATATATTTCAGTCGACGCAAAGTTTCACAAGTAAAATTCCGTCATTTTTGGGTCACATAAAGTAGAAAAGGTACTGCGTATACTTACGTGCATGAGTCGTGGACGTCAGTGCAGCCGCTGAAGTCCTTCCTCTGCCCGACAGTCCCTCCCCACTGGCGCTTCACTGAACAGCGTCGCTCCAAATGTAGTCAGGCTGGCGGCGGCGGGGGGGCTCTGCGAGTTCAGAGGACAAGAGTATAAATAGATGGACATCAGTGGACGCACTTTCCACTGTCCAAGACGCTCCCGTGGGATCGTGCTCCATTATACGTACGCAATATTGCAGAATCAAATAAGAAAATTAAATTAAAAAAAAAAAAACACTTAGGCGTATGTGCAAGACGGAGGTGATATGTATGTGCAAACGTGCAATAGTGCAATGGAACATATCCAGGTCCAAGACAGGAGTGGCTAATCGGGACATTCGGGAGTTTTCCCGATGGGCTGACCCATGTCAATCTCGGTTTGGGCCGCTTGGATCATGGGCATAATTTAAACACGAATCTGTGACAAATATCCAGTTTCAAGATGGAAAACATCTACTGTATATTTACACAATTTAGAAGTGTAACATACTTTGACGTCATGTTAAAAAAAAGAAAACAACCATGTTCTTACTGAACCCAAAAGACTCATTAATATCAAAGCTGAATATTTTTGGGATTTGGAGTAGGGCTTTTTTTGTTTTAGCTATTTTAGGGGGATATCTGTGTGTGCAGGTGGCTATTACTGTGCATAATTATTAGGCAACTTAACAAAAAACAAATATATACCCATTTCAATTTTATTTATTTTTATTTTCAGGGAAACCAATATAAGTGCCATCCATGGATTCTGTCAGTGTTTTGATCTGTTCACGATCAACATTGCGTGCAGCAGCAACCACAGCCTCCCAGACACTGTTCAGAGAGGTGTACTGTTTTCCCTCCTTGTAAATCTCACATTTGATGAGGGACCACAGGTTCTCTATGGGGTTCAGATCAGGTGAACAAGGAGGCCATGTCATTAGTTTTTCTTCTTTTAGGCCCTTTCTTGCCAGCCACGCTGTGGAGTACTTGGATGCGTGTGATGGAGCATTGTCCTGCATGAAAATCATGTTTTTCTTGAAGGATGCGGACTTCTTCCTGTACCACTGCTTGAAGAAGGTGTCTTCCAGAAACTGGCAGTAGGACTGGGAGTTGAGCTTGACTCCATCCTCAACCCGAAAAGGCCCCACAAGCTCATCTTTGATGATACCAGCCCATACCAGTACCCCACCTCCACCTTGCTGGCGTCTGAGTCGGACTGGAGCTCTCTGCCCTTTACCGATCCAGCCATGGGCCCATCCATCTGGCCCATCAAGACTCACTCTCATTTCATCAGTCCATAAAACCTTAGAAAAATCAGTCTTGAGATATTTCTTGGCCCAGTCTTGACGTTTCAGCTTGTGTGTCTTGTTCAGTGGTGGTGGTTTTTCAGCCTTTCTTACCTTGGCCATGTCTCTGAGTATTGCACACCTTGTGCTTTTGGGCACTCCAGTGATGTTGCAGCTCTGAAATATGGCAAAACTGGTGGCAAGTGGCATCTTGGCAGCTGCACTCTTGACTTTTCTCAGTTCATGGGCAGTTATTTTGCGCCTTGGTTTTTCCACACGCTTCTTGCGACCCTGTTGACTATTTTGAATGAAACGCTTGATTGTTCAATGATCACGCTTCAGAAGCTTGGCAATTTTAAGAGTGCTGCATCCCTCTGCAAGATATCTCACTATTTTTGACTTTTCTGAGCCTGTCAAGTCCCTCTTCTGACCCATTTTGCCAAAGGAAAGGAAGTTGCCTAATAATTATGCACACCTGATATAGGGTGTTGATGTCATTAGACCACACCCCTTCTCATTACAGAGATGCACATCACCTGATATGCTTAATTGGTAGTGGACTTTCGAGCCTATACAGCTTGGAGTAAGACAACGTGCATAAAGAGGATGATGTGGTCAAAATACTCATTTGCCTAATAATTCTGCACTCCCTGTATATATTGTATATATACTGTATATACATATTGGCCTCTGGAACAACAACAACCTGTATTATGTTACTAATGTAAAACTGATTCAGCTCCACTTCGTATCACTAATTTAACTCAATATTATGTATGTGCTAATATATGTATATATACACACATATATAGCGTGTCTGTGTTAATACATTTTGCATTTTTATTCGTTTTTCTGGACTTCAACCTGTTGTTAACGCCTGTGTGACTTTCAACACTGACCTCATCTGTTCTAACTATGTAACTGCAAATAATCGGCTCAGTGCATTCAGTAGGACTACAATGTTGTGGTACCAAAAGGAGAGACAGGTCTGTAAAACTATCATTTATAGAAACGTTTTTCAAATGAACAGCACCAACTCATACAATCTGTCATTTTAAACACAAAACACAGACCTGTTCCTGTCCTTGCAGCATAATTGTGCTTAATAAAAAAAAGTTTTCTCTCTTATGCATTAGTCAGATTAGCTTACTTATCAACTGTTTTCAGTCATTTCCAGCAAAACAGAAAATTCAAAATATAAAACTGTTAACAACCTATTGACTCCAAATACAGGCAGATGTGCAAATGGACAGTAAAAATTAAATTGTCTCTCAACAAATAAAGTGATTTCACTTATTGAAAATAAAAGTGTTGACAAATTGCCAAAGCACAAGTTCATTTAAAAAAAATAAAAATAAAACAACATATATAACAAAAACATAACACAACGAGGTCTTGATGATGACAGACATGGTGAATGTGACTTGACTTCATCCCAACACTGAAGCTGTCTGTAGTGGAGTGAAGGTCTCATCAGTCGAAGTCAGAGGTTTCTCCATTCCACTCACTTCCACAGAAAACCTTCACTGAGTGAAGAAAGGATGAGCCAGAGCTTCGGCAGCTGAGAGGCGTCTGCTGGGTCTGAATGTCAGACATTTCTGCAGGTGAGGAAATGTTGCAAAGCAAACTTCAGGAATTCATTATTTTGGACAGAGTAAACGTAAACACAATATAACATTGATTTTCTAGTGTTACCTTCTGTTTTGAATGTTTACAGTGATATACGTAAAATATATAAGGCTGACAATCAAATTCTCTCGGAAAACTCAATCACTAATCATGATTATTACAGCTGTGATTTGATATTTAATATATTAAACAATTTCACTTGGATTGCATTGACTAAACCACAATCACCACACATTCAAAAAGCTGTTGGTCCTATACTAATTGTCCAAAACAAAGTGCCACCTTTTATTTAGCTCTACTTTGATTCTCACATTAATTATTAACATTCTAAGTGCTCTACCCACACTACCACATTGTAGGTATTTAACTTCTGTATGAAACAGGAAGCAGAGTCAGGAACATTTCATTCAAGGTTCTCACAGCCAGCAGGTCATTCTCCAATGGGCCCAGCTCATGCAGCTGCAGCTTGCAGGAAACATTTGGCCCCCAGTTGAATGTGTATGAAAAGGGGCTGTCGGCGGGCCAGTCCTCCTCCGCTGGTAAACCAATAAGTCTGAAACAAAAGAATTGCTTAAATGATAAGGATCAAAACATATAAGTCACTGTGACCTTGTGTAAACAGGGGAAATGTGAGCTCAGCGGCATGGTCAGATTTAGATTCACAACACATCAAGTTTTGGTCAATGTTCTGTCTGTTCAGTCAGATCACATGTATAAATAATATGTGATATGTGAGAGAAAAGGGATTTAAAAAATACTTACGCAAAGATTTTTTGCAGCTGCTGCACATCTGTGAATGCCTGAAACAGCGGCCTGTAAAAGAACAAATACTATAAGGGAACTTATATGGATTTTCTGAATCTTTAAGGAACGTTTCACCTTTAAATTTAAATAAAGAAACACACGTCCAACAATGACAAGCTGCCAGTGTGCTGCTCACAGACCGTTATCATTCTTACTTCAAGAGGAAGAGCTCCGCAAAGATGCAGCCAGCACTCCACATGTCCACTGAGGACATATAAACAGAATTCAGCAGCACCTCAGGAGCTCGGTACCAGAGTGTTACCACCTGATGAACAGAGAAATAAAGTGAAAATAAAGTAACACAATAGCAGGGGTGAGAGGGGTCAGTAAAAAACATAATTCCCAGTCACAGTTTTTTTATTCCACTTACACCTGGAGTCAGAGCAATGTTGAAGGTGTAGATCCGTGCCAGTCCGAAGTCTGCAATCTTCACTTCTCCACGGCTGCTGACTAGAACATTGTCTGGTTTCAGGTCACGATGTAGCACCAGGTTCATGTGCAAGAAGTCCAGACCTCGTAGAAGCTGGAGCATCAGATTCTATCGAGACACGAAGAACAATAGAGCAGAACATTTTTAAGTGTTTCCTTTTACATGTAATGACTGATTAAGCAGGTGAAAATCAGTTTGAAATATTACATAATCAAAGCTGTCCAAATTAAAACTCAAAGCTGTCCAGATTTTCTGCACAGGTCTAACATGAAGAAGCTGTACCTTAATACAGTCGAACCTCAGTCCAGAAGCTGGAACCTTTGACAGGTATGTGGACAAGTCCTGGTCAATGTACTCCAAGACCAGAGTGAGGCCTAAGTTCCTATCTACTTGGTCAACAGCTGCATCCAGAAGCCTGGATTTTCCAAAAAAACAAAACAAATATATTTTTATATAAAATATGTCTGATGTATTTATATAATTATTACACACAATTAAATACTAAGTTTAAATACAATTGAGACAATAGAATACAATAGAAAATTATAAAATAATAAAGAATAGTACGGAAGTTATTCTTCATCTTACTTGACTATGTTGGGATGATTGAATTGCTTCATCTTACGAAGCAGCGCCACCTCGCGGATGATAAAGGCGGGGATTCCTCTTTCGGGATCATATCCGCGGAAGTCGAATTTTTTCACCGCTAGATATCGATGGTTTGCCCCTACTTCTCTGGCTTTATACACTTTACCATGGGAACCTTCTCCAACTTCTGACAGCAGCTCGTAAGATAGCGGTTTAAAGCTGGCCTCCATTTTCTTGCCAACTAAAGACAAAACATTAACCGAATCTTCTAGAAACGTGTTCACTTAAAGATGGCAGCAATTTAAAATATAGTTTAAAAAAAAGTTCAATTCGAATAAAAACTGAGTTGCTTTGCATGTAGTACACTGTGTACTTCTGTCATAACAATGTCACAAACTTTTGGTATTTAACTGTAATTAACACATTTCTGTTAGTTCGTGATGCCTTCACTGGTTTTCACTCACCTATCGCCTCCCTAATACCTGAGTTGCTGAAGAGAATGCTTCTGGTGTTTGCACCGTTATTTAAAGGTAATAGTCCGAAAAAATCACACCCCTTTTGTAAGGGGACTAATCAGTACATGATTTTGATTTGGCCCACTCCTTTTTACTGGCTGGTGTGTGGCCACGTACATGTGGTGCGTTCATGTGCAGAGGTCAGAAATTGAACCGAATAAAAAAACAAAAAGTCACACAATCATAAAAAATATTGTGAATTATGTGAAGTCACTAATAATTAAGATATTCGGTTTCTTTCTTACTACTATACCATTCCTCATAATGGTAAAATGGTAGATTTGCTTAAATGGTACTGAAATTAAATAAAGGTGCTTTTCGTAAGACTAAAATAATGTTATGTTGCCTTGAAATCACAAATATTTTCCTTATTCTATGAATACTATGATATTAGTACTGTAAATACTGTAAAAAGGTAAACAAAATATTTACGGTTGTTTGCAATCATGGTGTGTTACCAATTTGAAAATATGTAAAACCTTAAATCTATATAATTAAAAAATATGTCTCAATGACATTACATTTATTATCCACTTTATTGTTTTCGCCATCAACTATTTGGTTAGAAGAGTATTCTTAACTTTACATAAAGCAATGGCTACAAGTGAGGTAATTATAAAGCAAAGTAGACAACACCACACAACTGTTCTGTGAATGATTAACAAGTACTTGCATGTACTAAGTGTTACTGAAAGACATCAAACATTCCATTTATAATAACAAATAGAATACTGATGTAAGTTTGTAATCAGTCAAAAGCTGTATGTTTTATTTTAACAGTCTTTGCAGTAAAGCACTTAAATGGTTTCTTTGTTATTTTGAGACAAGAAAAAAACCAGCTGTGTGCAGATGTGTAATTTAGCAGTCAGCAGCGTTAGACATTTATTCCTCTTTATATTTGTTGCTCACGGATTTTATTCTCTTTGCCAAGCCAATGGCATCCAGATGAAGGTTGCGGTTGAGAATGACAGAGCCACAGGTGATAGCTCCAGACAGAGCTCCAGCAAAACCACAAACAAAGACATCCTGTCCTGTAAGGCAAAGTCATGAATGTATTTCAGACTAAAAAACTTTCCCAGGAATGTAGATAACAATGCATTGAAAACATTCAACAAAAATATTACACATGAATTAAACTGTTGGTGTTTAGTTATTACTATAAATACATTTATTGACTGACCTGTCAGATACAGATTCTTCAGGGGTGTCTGGGGTCTCACGGTAGCGCTGAGTTCAGGGCTAAAGCGGGCGATGCCATGATCTGCCCCATAGATTTCACCTTTCGGGGCTCCAATGTAATAAGTATTTGTGATTGGGGTTCCGGCGTCAATGTATTCAATCTACACAAAGAAATGAAGTAAAAGTAGAAGTAAATCTGGAATTTAGCAAATTAAAGTTGATGTTAACTCCAGGTAGGGGCCCTCTGCTTTGATCATGTGACCATGTCCAGATTTGCCCCTCCAGAATCTTTACCTTGTCCCGTGTTATTTTAGGGAAGACATCCAAGACGATGTCCAGAGCACAGTCGATGAAAGCCTGCTTTAGCTCTTTGTACTCTGCTCCTCTGTTTGTCGCTTTGTCATCCTTCCACTCCTCAAACCACTTGTAGTTGGCAAAGCTGACCAAGCTCAAAGTGGACTTTCCTAACAAGATACATATTCATGAAGTCAATACACCTATCGTATTGCTCTATAAAACAGGATGATACAAGACTTTTTATGATTTTTTTTTGTAGGGCAGCAGTTGAGCTTCACACATATCCATGCTCATATACCTGGTGATCTTTCTGCCCAGGTTGGATCTTTGGCTGAAGGAGAGGCAACAAACAGAATAGGTATCTTCCTGGCGGACTCTTCCCGATCTCCGTATAAGTACTTTGTCGTCCTGTTGTAGAAATCACATTTACAATCAATAGGTCTTTAGAAGAGGACAGGAGAACCAAAACAAAACTGTGACACATGGATATGGATTTAACAACAACGATTCATCACAACATACAGTTCATCCAAGTTGTTTTCAGCAAAGATCCAGTAGTTGTCTGCTTTGAGGCCCAGCTCCTCCTTGGTCCCATTCAGACCCACAAACACACTCAGGCCACCTTCACCGTTCTTCACCATACTGAGTTGCTGCTGAATTTCTGTGAGATAAACAACTTCACACTGAAAAGCTTTAGAAGACGACCATTGTCTCAAATGTGAACATGTAGCTTCATGGTACCGGGCATGGCCTGGAGCTCTTTGGGCAGCAGGGTTTGGTAAGTGTTAAAGATCCCAGCGTTGGAGATGACCATGGGAGCATGAACATGGACTTCCTCCTGACCTTTCATGACACTCACACCTGCAACAATGAATGAAGGACTCATTAAGACCTGGTATTAAGCTTTGGTTGTAAAGTGTGCATAACTAATGTTAAAATTGTGTATTTAACACATTAATTAATCAATAATATGTAAAGCCTAATCAGATAAAAATTTGTAACATTTTTTAATACATAGGCAGATGTGCACTGCATCCAATAATTTCAGCGTCCATCCACTTATCGTTGACCTAATACAAAGTTAATACTAATGTTATCTTATTTTGATTCATATTAAGGATGCCACAAATACAGCATAGAGAAAATGTAATAAAATCCTGAACCATATAAACATTTGTTCACACTGGAACCACTTTCAAAATCATCCTGCACTAATACATTTGTGTATTTTAATAAAAAGTAGAGGTGTTTGTTGTTGAAGTTGTCCCCAGACTCACCACACGCTTCTTTGGCATCATTGAACAGGATTCTGTTCACTGGAGCTCGAACCAGGACAGCACCACCAGACTTCTCGACGATGGGGATCATGTGATACGCAATTTCACTGGCTCCGCCTTTTGGATACCAGGCACCATACAGGTAGTGAACAACCAGCAGGCTGTGCATGGAAAAGCTGGCATCTTTGGGCATATTACCTGTAGAGAAGAGAAAGGAATAAAGAGAAAGAAAGAAATGAGTGGTGAAGGCAAGCGGACTTCGTCTGCAGAATAACCACCTGACCCACCGTAGGTTCCAAAGATGTAGGAGAAAACTGCCCGCAGGTCTTTGTTCTCTGTCAGTCCATTCACTACTTCTGTCAAGCTGCATGATCCCATCTTAAAGAAAAAGGAGAAACGTTTGGCCAGACCAGTGGAGACCAGCAGTCGGGCAAAGGGGGCGGGGCACATCTTCAGGAGAGCCAAGAGCCAAATGCCCCGTGAAGCTTTCTGGAAAAGAGACAAAGAGACAACATACAGTTTTCTCACTGAACCCCATGCTGTAACAAGGCTGTGCTATGTTCTTAATCCTATAGACAAGAATATGGAATAAAACATATTTTAGATTCTGAATGACCCATTTTTTTAAAATTAGATTATTTTTTGCCAGATTATCTTTAAATAAAGAAAGTAAATTGATATGACTGGACTTTCTTTGAATCAAGTAAATTAGTAAAAATTAAGTTTTGTTTTTTTATTGTGTTCCACTGCGGCCCAGTACCACGGCGGACCGGGGGTTGGGGACCCCTAATCTACACAGTCTTCCAGGCCCTTCAAGGGGAACTGTATTGCTGATGTGGCCCCCGGTGAAAATGATGTTTGGCAGCCCTGGTTTAGAGCTCACCTTGGCCAGCCTGACATACTCGTCAATGGCCTTCTCCTCCCCAGGGAAACACTTCTTCAACTCCTCTGCGAAACGGGTCCTGCCGCTGTAAATGGGATAAAGGCGTCGGTTTTCTGGAGGTCCCAGAACGACTTGGTCAAAGGGATTATCCAGAGGCTCCCACTGTAGCTGCCCATTAGTCAACTGGTCCAACATGCAGCGAAAGGGCTTGTGGTCCAGAAGGTTGCCAATGTAGTGGATCCCTGAAAAAAAAAACTTTGTGAAATACTTAAGTACTTCACTGTATGTAAGGTTAGAAATAAGAAACTCTTTTTCTCACCAACATCAAATTCAAAACCCTTCTCTGTGAATGTGTGACAGCATCCTCCAGCCCGGTCATGCTGCTCCAGGACAAGAACTTTCTTTCCAACTCTGGCCAAAAGCACAGCAAGGCCGAGACCACCAATCCCACTACCAATGATGATGGCATCCAGGTTGTCAGGAACTCGACTGGCCAGGAAGCCTTCATGAAGAGGAGGAGACAAAAATTCAAACAACAGCTTGGGTCTGGAAAAAATGCTGCTAATTTTGTAATAATCTACATTTCCTCCCTGCTTGTTTTTACGAGGATGTTGTACTTTGTCCTTTTCAGTGAGACTACAGTTTAAATATGTACCAAGATGTTCTGTTAAAAGATCAAAATTCAATATAAAACACCAAACTACCTGTTTCTTCAAAATATTTTTTTTTACACTTAACTCCTCACACTTTTTTTTATTTCAAAATGTTTTAATGATCGAGTGCAGGCATCAAGTTCCTCATAATGTTAATGATTACAAAATGTTTGGGAAAGGCTTGTGAGGGCAGAAAGGCTTGAGGAAATACAGGGAATTTACTGAAAACAAACAAAAAAAATCCTTAAAACTTCCGGTTTTGATTTTTTGGTGAACTCTAAATAAGAAGGGGAAAAGTCATTGATATTTATTTATTTTATGAGTCAACAGTCCCATAAAATGTATCAAGAATGTGTCAATGAATTTAAGGATGAAATCTAAGATAATTCTATTATAATGAACTTTTAAAAGGCAAAAGAATGGGTTCTTGATCTGATCTTTATTATAATAACTATATATAGAATGGTATAAATGTAATAACATTCAAAAGATATTCAAGATTTAAAGGAAATAATGGACATGAGATTCAGAACAAGCCAAATATAATAGCTGACTGCTCATCTGTAGAATTGCTGCCCTCCACTTCACAGCAATAAACCCATGGGGTTCTGAGGGTCATTTTGACCCAATATTAAATTTTGCACATTTTGTGATTACTTCATTTTACACAAGATCTAGTTCCCCTAAATTTCAGAGAACCAAAGGTGTCCGTGATGACAAAACTTGGAAACAGGAAGGGTGACATTCGTTGGTTTAAAGTCATGTCAACTTGACAAAAGCAGTGCTGATAACACTGACAAAAGAAACATTGTTCGAGGGATATGGAAATGTGTTCTTCATTTGTGCTTCAACAACATCAGGCTAGAATGCAAGGACTTCTGTAACTGTATATTTACACTTTATATATAATCCTAATGACACCTGGTCAGCAGGCAAGCTCAGAGTGCTCAGAGTAAAAGTCACCAGTCAACATCGTTGACACCTGGCCCACATTGTTAGATAACAACATGAACACTTAATGACAAATGGCTGTGTCCAATTTTTTATCATTTATTTATTTATTTTGCAATCGATAACCCAGGTACCTCAGGTAAATCAACGCTTTTCAATGAGCTCACCTTGTTTCAGGACTTTATTTTTCTCTTTCTTGTCGAAGATCATCTTCTTCAGCGGTTCACGTGTGTCCTTCTCAAAAGGATTCGGTCCCGAGCTACCGAAGACATACTTGAATACAAAAGCGACCAAAGCTACACAGATGACAACGACCGCGATCCACATGTTGACAGAGAAGACAGCGAAACACCGGGAAAGTCGAACTGCACTGCACCTCACCTCACCGGCACTGTCTTCCGTATTCACCCAGATTACGTCACTGACAGACATATAATCTGGACCAATCAGAACCCATTCACTCAAAATGGATGAACCGGCGCCTGGCTTACAAAATAACTTCGCGTTTATTATTATTATTATATTATTATTTACCTTGACTGTGAAAAAAGACCATCCCTGTTATAGACCTCCGATACGATACTGTATTCATATCTAACTGTTCCACCTTTAATACTACAGTAAAGACTGTGCATACGTGTACATAATGTGGAAAAAAGAAATGGGGAAAAGCTGATAATGAGTGAGTATATCCAATAGGTTAAAAGTTGTTGACAAACTGTGACAGAAATATATATACAGCAATACTGATAATAATAATATAATAACAATAATAAAATCAAAAATATAACACAAATCATAATAATAGTAATAACAAAGTAATCCAAAAAATAGTCTGATATCAACTGGTTGCCCATTTGTTTAAATACATTTTAAAAAAGTTCCAAATCCAAAGCAGAAATACTTGGTTGATCTCCAGGGGAAATTGTTGGTGTTGCAGATGTAATACATAGAGAACAAGTTATTTCATGTTCTTCAATGTAACTATAGTAAATATCTACGTACACTGACTCATATTTACTACACAAACATTGTCCTGATAAGTATTTCACAATGATGGTTGTCCTAGCAAAAATATTATCTGCCGTCAAAGGTTGAGTAACAGATTTTAAAAAAATGCTGACACATTATTCACCCAAATTAGAATATGTGCAAAATAAGCAATTGTTTTTTTTTCAGATATATTTGATTGAAGTTCAAATCAGTTACCTTCATCAAAGTTTAGGGACAACTGACAAAGATAGAACTGAAGATCAGATTTCCACAATTAAGTGGGTGAAACAATTACAAATAATTAAAAACCACAGAAAACCTCAAGGTAACTTCTAGATTTTATTTTTTCTTTGCTCAACAAAAGAAATCACCTGTATGTTCACTTTGCTTCCTGCAATGCCAGGTCCCAATCTTTTATTAATTTATTTTCATGTATGTTTACAGATTAGAACCAACAACTCACATAGAAAACTGTTTCCAGCATCACCTTGTCATTATCATCACGACAGGATCAGGTTCAATACCAACCCTAAAACGTGAGATCTGTTGAACTACTTAAGCTGAAGGAGAAGGCTAAGCTGTGATGTTCATGTTTCGAGTCCGTAACTACACCACGTTTCCTGTCACTTTCCAAACATACTCCTCACAGCGAGTGAGACACGCCCTGCCTTTCCACGACCTGCATATGAACCTTATTTGAATTTTGAGACAGTTCTTATTGGCACGTTTGCTTCATTATTAGCCTGATAAGCTTTATATAAGAACCCATTTAGAGAAAGTACCAAAAGTTCAAACTTCTAATTTCCTATTTTTAACCTCAGCCATTATGAGTAAACTCTTAAATTAAGGAGGAATGGGAGGACATGGAAAAACGCCTTTCCAATCCCCATACAGTGTGTCCACTCCTCTCTGCAGCAGTCCACCTTTTAGAATAATGTTGAGTCCAACTGAGTTTGTCCGTGATTAGTCAGTTGTTGTTTTTTTTCCAGCCTCTCCTGTTAGTGCAGTAAGCCTGAAAGGAAACTCGTGAAAGTTAACAAGAACACTTTAAAAAATTCCAGAAGGCATTGTGATATCTCCGGCATGCAGACATCTTCAAACACTGCAGAACATCTTTATGAAAATTGATGGAACTGAGGGTGTAATTTAAAAAAAAAAAAAAAATCTTAGCAGAAGCCCTTAAATCATTTATTAGCTGTCTTTTAAGCATTTTCTGTTTTAAGTTTTTTTTTTCCTTTTCCATTTCTAAAACGTAAGATTGATAGATGTAGAAGTTGCAAATAGCAGATCCAACACTTAGGAATAAAATAAAACAGCAGGATTTAGTCTGGATGAGTTGTGGCATAACCTGCAGTTACTGTTTGCTATGTACAATTAACGAACCATTTGAAGCTAGCCAATAGTTGGGTGTTTGCGTCAACTGTTCATTTGTGTATGCGTTTTGGTACAATCAAAGACAGCTTCAGATGTAGCAATAGTTTTCAAATGGAAACTACAATGGCTTAAGGTCCATGTGATTGAAGAAAGAGGAGGAAGAGCAGAGACTCCTCCAGTCTTCCTGTCTGGCAGCAGTAGTGCAGGTCAAAGTTCATAAAGTAAAAATGGGCCTTGGATATTTTCCTTTACTAAAGCAGGAGGTCGTCACTCCATCTGTCAGGTGGTTGAAGCAATGGTACCGTCTCCTGGTCCGTCAGTGACACTTCCTTAAGGTGTAGGGTGAGGTCACTGCAGCACCAACCCAACCTGAAGTGGAAGAAGAAAAAAAGAATTTTTATTTGTATTTTTACAATTTTTTTATTATGCAAAGAAAACAAGACACATTTTATTCAGAACTATATAAGAATAGCAGTCACATTATAACACTATAGAAATAATGGTATAGTGTAGAAGGTGCATATAATTAAATAATGACAATATATATTATAAAAATAACAACCCATAACAATATGTCCACTGTTTCAAGGGATTGATAAAGTTCTAAGCAAAACTTTTCTTATGCAAAAATTCCCTGCTTCAGACCTGCAGGTAAGCAGAGGTTGGACGTACCTTTTCTGACCCCATGCTGGGACACTTCCAATTGTACAGATAATACTGTAGGTTCCCATCGCCGATGCCAAACTTTAGCTTCTCCAGGAAAGTCTTGTTTTCCATTAGATCCAGTGCATTAAAGACATCAAACCCTTTCTGAAAACACAGATGCAGAGGAGAATGCCATCGTTTCCTCAGAGTCGACATTTAACCCACTGAGGACCTGTGACCTGTAGGCTGAACCACAACGTACCGATTTAGCCAAAATGAGGGCATCAGACATCAGGTCCAGCAGGGTGGTGGTGGTGTGGACGTTGTAGAAAGAGTATGCTGCTTTCAGGCTGCGGTGCACAGGGTGGTTCATGATGGTGGAGGGCAGTGTATAAAAACTCAGGAAGTCTGTCACTTTGCCATCATTCTATCAAGAAAGGGGGGAAATGTATTTAAATGAGGTTTTTAAATGACGTTTGCAGCACGCTTGCATCTGTAGATATTCATTTACCTCCACCACATAAGTGTCAATTATGTTTTCCTGAGGCAAAAGCCAGTGTTCCACCTCTTCCTGGTTCATGACGGGTACCAGACTGAACTGGCTCAGGTACTCACGGAGGAGACGATGTACCGACGGCACATCCTTTTTAGTCATTGGGCGCAGACTCGTCGACTTTGGAGCCTGCAGCGGCAAATGTGATTGGTGAGAATGAAGGCAGACTAGAAGGAGGGGTGAACCCTTGAAGTTCTACGGTAACAACTGCATGTGCTCTTGCACCTACACCAACCTCAGGCAGACGGTACAACTTCATGGTGCGCTGCATAGTCATGTTTCTGCTCAGGTGGGAAAACTTCACCTCGATTAGTTTGCGTGGGTTCAAAGAGCGATGCCAGTACCTGGGGAGGGAAATATTCCAATATTTATACTTTTAAAGAACTTAATTAATTTCATAAAATAAAAGCAGAAGCATTTAAGGATCAGGAACAAGCAGAATGCATCAGTTTCACTTGATGTAAGATTACATAATTAATAATTAAATGGTTAAGGTTAAAGTTAAGGTTAAGCCTGCACTGGATTAAAGCAAATTTACTGAGTCAATAAAAATAAAACAATTTGCAAAAAACAAAATTTACTTTTAATTGTTTATCTAATAGAACTACAAGGCAAATTATGAATAATTAAAAAGAATAATAATAATTTGAACTTTATTGTTGTGTTAATAGCAGATTTGCTGCAACATGCTGTCCCTTGGAGGCATCAGGTATATGGTTCTTCTGGGGCTCGAACCAAGGATCTTCTGCATGTAAGGCGGATGTGCAAGCAGGCATGATAATCACTAAACAATGGAACCACTATAGGGAATTTGAGGCACTACGGCAGCCTGGATGTCATTTCTGGTAGGCATAATGGTTCTGGTTTGACAGTAGTATATCTGGACTCATCTGTGCAGTGAATCCTAACCGAAAGTTTGCAGAGCTGATGTGGCTTTATAATAATGTAAAAGGTCACAGCTAACTGTAATTATTTGAGATGTCAACTACACAGCTTTACTATCATTTAGAACCCAAGAGTCTGAACTGAACACAAACAATACTCATTAGCTAAAAGAAAAAATGGCCGATCCAAGTAGTAACATTGGGAAACATGCAAAGACAACAACCTAAGTCTACGCCTGTCAGACGCACCTGCACGTGCCCACAGGTTTAGGCAGTACCACTCCAGCAGTGTAAACTGCCTGAAAGATGCCCTGCAGGTTGACCCGTCTGGTGATCTCTCGGATCAGGACGGGTGCGACCCGCTTGGCGCGGAGCTTCTTGTGGACGCAGAGGAAATTGATTTCAACCATTTTCTTCTCTCTGAAAATCCAGGAAAGAATTGAATCAGCTGAGCAATTATGTAAAATCTCCCCAGAGGAATTTTTCTTATGCTTAGAAATAGTTCTCGTTGTGGAATTTTTGGTTTTGACATTGCACAGCTGCACTGGCTTACATGTCATAGATGCAGATAGTCGCAGGAATGGCACCGATGAAGCCCACCAGCTTCTGGTTGGAGTTGACCCTCACTCCACAATGCCACTGAGGCAGCCAGCCAGGGGGCCGCAAGGCCCTGAAAGAATTCAGTCAGTTACATTTTCAACAACCTAACCACTCAATACTAACGCTATGGCATCTCATGTGACATTGAACAGACCGACTGTCTGTCCTTGACAGGTTTGAAATTAGAAAAAAAATAATTACCAGAGGAGAAACTCAGGGGAGTAGTCAAATCTGAACATGTTGTCATCATCTTCCACATAGTTCTCATTGAGAAGAGTGTAGAGCTCTTTCAGCTGGTGTGGTGGGGAACATTTTTTAAAAATGTAAGTGAGGATAAACCAAATGAAATGCAGTTATTTTAAGAAGCTAAATATTTATTATCAGTGACCTTGATCAAACTTTAAAATAGTAATTTTATAACAAAAATGCAATATAAGACTCTATATAGACTATATAGACTCATTTTGTTCTAACCTAAGTAAGGAGGGAGAGAAGTTTCATCGTGGGGGGGATCAAGATAAGTATCCTTAAAGTCTTTAAAGACCATTTCTAGATAAAGGGCGTAATTCCTAATGTGAACATTTAGATGATTACCACTGCAGGATCCCCCAGATCCAGAGTGTCCCAGCTGAAGCCCTGTGGGAGGCTGTAGGGCTCCTCTCGGATGTGGTCTTTATCAGGTTCAATACACCCGTGTGATGTCACCGTCTCCCCTGAAGTAACATAAGACAGTGACTGTCTACAAGTTCAAAAAGCTGAAGAAATACTTGGCCGCGCGTTCAATGGGTAAACTGGAACAAAGGTCAAATGTTATACCCAGCTTAGGGACAGGCTGCGTGTCCCAGAATTGGTAGCTCCTGCGACTTGCTTCCTCCATGGTCTTGGCTGGACCTTGGCCGACAGAGAACAGTTCAATGGCCTTTTGGATCTCCTGTAGCTTATCAGCTGGCAGCGAATTTACCTGATTTACCAACAAAGAAAAGAAAACAAATATAGCGGACATTCCAGGAGCTCACACCACTGACTCTCCTTCTCACACATCATACTATTTCACAACTTCAACAACAGCCTTGTGACTGAAAGAGGGCTGAGATTTAAAAATGTGCAAAAGAAAATAAAAGAGCTACAAGCTGCTGTTTTAAAAACATGGTCTGTGTTTCAGCTTAAATGTCACCCTTCAAGTTACAAGGCCGAAGGGTTTTAAGAATTAAGGATTCCTAAAGTGAGGGGTGGGCACCACTCAGGGACAAAGACCTATTGCTGGGGGCTATACAAAAGCAGTGTCCAACTTAAATATTTACTACTAATAAAACCAAACAAGTGAATCATACCTTGGCAAGAGTGTCCTGAGGAGGCTCTGTTGAACCAGTTTTCTTCTTCTTTTTCTGCTTCCTTTTCTTCTTCTTAGCCCCAGTGTCATCAGCCCTGTCACTGAAACAGGAAGAAAGAAATATATTCAATATTTTAACACTTTATGAATTTAAAGGGTTTAGAACAGGTTCTCCCAAACTACAGAACAGTCCGTTATGTAGGTTAGTTGTAGTGTCAGATCAAATGCAATTTATAAATGTCTTGAACAATTAATCAACACAGCTACACAAGCACACATTTTGAGCCTTGATTTACACGACAAACAGGAAGCACCTTTAAAGCAGAACCAAAACTTAATATAAATTACGAGTCAAATCAGCTATTTATACTTCGAATACAATAACTGTCACAGAAATTAGCCCTCTGCTCATTAATTTAAACCCAGTTTCACATTTGAGTCACAGTGGCGACTGTTTGACAACAGATATCAAAATGATAGGCAATTATTTACCCTGAGAGTCAGGTTTCAAAACTTTAAACCGTCACAATAAGTAGAGGACAGTTGTTCATATAATTTCTACGAACCACTGCAGACGTCTTTAAAACAGCACAAATGCACACAACTGCATCATAAAGTGAAGTGAAGGTGAATCATTGTCACACAGCACACTGCTACCTCACAATGAAAATGTGACCACTGCCTTCAACCCTAAAGCAGTGTGTGGGGACCGTGCCAATAGTGGAACCTGGTGGCTTCGAACCTGCAACCTTCTGGACACAAGCCTGCGTCCTTAAACACCTGTAACAACCCTCTTTACAGATGAATTGAAGGCTGAGATTCCACACATCCACACACTAATCCACCCCTGGAGCCTAATAAAGTCTGGATACTTAAAGGGGAAAATCCAATTAGTGAGCAGGAGAGGAGTGAGACTGCGAGCTAAACGTTAACACTAGCACAGATGGTGAATCACATGATCTCTGCAGAAAAGATGTGTGGCCTCCACATGTTTGTATGTACAAGGGGTCAGTGAGTGACTGTGACAATGGACAAAACATTCAATAGATTGTTCCACAGGCTTCCATTTCAGCAGAATAGACAGTTAAACTGAGGTACATTTGTACTTCATTCCATGTGTGAAAAGCACACATTTAAAAGAGCATTTAAAAATACAACAATTCAGTTATTGAAAACGCCACATTCTTACAAATGACTTATTAGATGTAACTCTCTGGTCATAATTGTGACAATTTTCTCTTTGGTTGTTTTCAGGGGGGGTTTACCTCATAAGCAGCCATTTGACAAACAGAAAAACCCAATACACGCATTGTTTTTGCAAACTTTGACTTGATGATGTGTGTGAACAGTAGATAATAACCGAGCCTTGATTAAACAAAACAGCATTTAAATCAACTGTGCAGGATTCAGCAGCACCCACAGTAGTGGTCTTTAATGTTTCAGTTTTCTTTTGAGCACGAATGTGATTTCAAAAATATTTTTTTAAGGGATTAGGAATACCATTGCTACTTCCAGCAAAAACGTTCATACACTAGCAGGAAAATGTCAATGGAATTATTATTTATTATCAATGGTATATGAAAGACTTACTAATTAAATGGACAACCATCATACATAATTCTGGCAGTGGACCTTCAAAGCATTTGCACACTTAGATATACACTGGTTTATAATGATGTTTCGCTCTATAAAGAGTGATAATACATCTCTATTTTACAATGCAAGTAAAGGAAGGTATGTAATTGCAAATAATGTGCAATAACGTTTAGGTGGTGCTGTTTTTATTTGTGTAGGCTCTGCATCAGAATCCCAGCAGACAAAAGAGGTTTGACAGCTACGTTAGCACAAGCGCTAAACTTTAGCCCAGCTCGTGCTAACCGGGCTTGCTGTATCTTGCATCAGGTAATGAGTCAGCAACAGCGTCGAGGTAATATTAATCAAAATGCCAACTAGAATAGGAGAATTCGCATTATTAAACCTTGTAAAATCATATGTTAAAACGTTGTTTTAAAATTAATACGCTTCAAAAGATTGTCCAGTTATTCCACTCCTCAACCTACGCCTTGCCTTTGGTGCTACAGAACAGCGAAGCCACACACGCCCACATGGGGGCGACATAAAACTCTCTCAGCCAATACTAACGCAGCATCAATGAGTGACTGTCACTTCTAGCCAATGGGGTAGAGGAAAGTGGGCGGGGCATGTCAGTTCCAGTGCTGGCTGTCTATCTTCGTCCGGTTGTCGAGGCTCTACTTTTCACACCATTTACTGTGAAACAGTGACTTTCGTTGGTTTCAAGCAGCACAGATCTAGGACATGTCTTCTTACCAATCATCCAAGTGGTGATCTTCATTTTCACAGTCGCTACAGTGTACGTGGTCCTCTACATCTTCCTTCTCCGGCATCGGTGCTGTCTCATTCTCATCCGCCATCTTTATCCAGGAAGTGAGGGGCCCACCGCGTGTTGTCGACGCCTTTAAACCCGCCTTGGTGTTATTGGCTCTCGTGCGCCCTCCCCACTCTGTCTCTCTCTGTTAACGACAATACGAGTTGTCCTGTTCCCCCAGCGCAGTTTGTGATTGTGGCTCCAGTTTCAATATAAAGCTTCACACGCTAATCTATAAACTGTCTAGCGTTTATCGGGTTCACTTTCACAGTTATGTGATACGACCAAGAGGCCTAAAGATAAACTGAAAAGACAATGAAGCCTTTGTGCAGAATATGTGCAAACGTTAGGTTTAGTGGGTATGTTCTTACTCTAGTTTATAACGTTTTCCATGGCAAGGATCCCCTAATATAGTATAAAAACTGGCATATATGTTATAGTTTTGTACGTGGAAAATATTAAAAACAACAGAAAAAAAATCAAACGAAAATGTCACCATCTATCTCCCCGTTAGCACGTCCACAAATTAATTTGCGACGCGAAGGGCTTTACACGTGAATATTTTTAAACGAATAACGAGTTTTAAAAGTATAACCAATTCTGAACGTAGTAGGTGTGATTTTCCTAAAGTAACACCCTTATCAGGTCTTAAGAATGACATATAGTGTTAAAAAAATTGTATTTCGTTCTCCATAAGTGTAACTAAGACCGGGGGGCGCTAGTGAGCTTACTAACTCCAAATGAAACAAAAAGTATATCAGAAAGTGGATGTAACAACTGGCAAAAATATTATATATATATTCAATTGTGGTAGACTACTGTAGTAATATAACCTTGAAAGCTGTTTTTCACAACGTTTTTGTTCATTGTATAAATAAAAACAGCAACAAACATTGTCAGATAGTTAGTCTTTTTATATAAACAACAAAAAAAATAATTTCTCCTTTACACATTACGGCTTACACCTTATAGACTAGATAATAATACTGAAAAACAAAATCATAATCATAGTAATTTGTTCCTAATACAATCACCCACATTTACTATTGCTAAAGTAATTCATTTTTAGTGACTGCAAAATACTGGAAAGGTTCTTTTCTCAGAGAACCACCTACCCAGCCAGCATTTGTTCGTGGGGGGGACAAATTGGACTTCACATTGGGATCCAAACTATGTTTGCAGATGTGGGTTTCTTTAAATTCCCCATGCTGTTTGTTGCAACAGACTAACATGTGGCCCACACATTATGTCCAGTTCTATACCATGCCTACTTTGTAACCAGGAAGCTGTGCGAGATGACACTGTATTCTTCATAGTGTTGATAGTATTCAATTGTTGCAATAAGAGCGTATCTATAGTATATACACAAGAACATATATTAAAGAAAATTAAAAAATACAAATTCTTGCAAACATTTTCAAAAGACATCATTTGACTGTGCATTCTATAGTGTGTGATACTGCAGAGGTAAATACACATATGCAAATTTTAAGAGAAAGAGTTTAGCACAAGTAAACATAAGTACATATAAGTACATCTGTAAGTTAATTCTTCTGATTTTCAAGTTCTTTTGTAAACTGTGGAAATAAATACTGTCACTTCTCTCAGAAAGCGCAGACGTTCTCCTAAAAAGGCTTAAAAGTAAGACTGCCTCCTTTAACCTCCTTAACCTTAGTTAAATTCAGATTTGTTTAAAACAAGCAGGTTAATTAAAAAATTAGTATAGAGATGTTAAAATATTTTTATAAAACAAAAATATATGTTTGCATATCTCTACTTCTGTCTAACATAAACAGCATACGACCTCCTTCAGAGTCAACATATTTAAAAAGAATCTTGTAACAAGCATCATTTATCATTGTGTTTCCTGAACCATTATCATCAGTGGCCAGTGTCCAGAGGGGTTAGCACTGACCAGATCCTCCCGCAGTGTAAATATTGAATAGTTATCCTGCTTCAGGCATTTCACTTCCTGAAGGACAGCACTCCTCCTCATCTCAGATCAACATGGTTCCTCCTGCACTGGGACGTGGCTCTGTGTAAATTGGACCACCACAGGTACGGACTGGGAGACAGGCCATCAGGCAGCAGCAGCAGGAGCATCTGTCTCTCCCCGTTTCCCTCTCCTCACACTCAGCTTTCTAAATGCATGTCATGCCTTGCCTTTGGCCTGGGCTATTCGCTCTGACACAGTTTTAACAGGAACTCCTCTGCGTTTCACTTTGACGTGGACAAACAATGTGGCAGGGGACAGGCTGGAACCGTCCGCCTTCAACAAGTGAACGTGTCGATAACCTGAGGAAAAGATGTGACAGTACGGGTCATTGAACGAACCAGCGGTGGATGTTTGTAACAGGTTTAGGACAAACTTGTATGAGCACCTGTGCGGAGACTGGTGAAGGGTAGCGTGAACTGTCCCACAAAGTCGTTCTTGGCAGTGTGGTCGTGGTCCTCCACGACAAACCGCACCAGTGCTAGTTCAGGGACTTGAAGCTGAAAGCTCAGCGTGCAGTCCCATCTCGGGTTAAAACCTGCAGAGGGCGCACAAGAGCTGTAAATAGATTGCCCTGCATTGTAGCTCTCAAACAAGCGAACCTGGCATTGAACAGGAAAAGGAAAAGCCCTGACAATAATATCTCAAAAATGTCGAGTACACAGACAGACAGAGAAGGTTGTTTGAGTCTCTGGTTGTTTTCTTACTTTATATGCAATAAGAAAAATAACAATACTAATCTAACTGTCTTATATTACAGACAATACATTTTGTTACCCAATATAATAAGCTAAATAATATTTCCATTTTTTTTAAATAAAGGTTAAATAAATGTCCAGCTTTACCATTGTTGTCAATGCGCTGCGTTTTGTTTCTTGCATTATCAATATCCACTCCATGAATTTCCACCCACACTTGTGGGTCAACGATGGAGCTGGCCTTCTCCGTGTTGATCTTTGGCAGCTGCTGTGCAGATATTATCTGCTCATGACATTCAGACAAAGTGAGAAAAATCAACTAATATAACATACATTTACAACCAGCTACAACTGCCAGCACTGTTCCAGGAGATTCAAAATAGATTGCAGTACTGTTTGTTAAAAACCTGAAATGTGGATTTATAACAATGACAAAAACACTACTTACAATATCAGTATTATAAGACCATATCTGAAGTTGGTCTACACAGCTAAATGTACTAACAACAATGTTATATAATAATGCCAGTAAACAACAGTAGGAGGCATAGGAAATGTAATTGAATAATTCATAAATGAAATAATAAAGGCAGATGTATGTATGACATAAGATATTTGGATCAAGGAGGATAAATGTTAGAGCAAAATAGCTAAAAGCTAGCTACAAATAGTGTATATGCTATTTATGGTTGAAAAATATAATAAAATAGCTAATATCCTGCACATACTGTCGCTATTATTTAGGCTAAAAACATTGTTTAAAAATAACTAAAATATAACTGCAAGTAACTCAAACCAAAAGATAAATATAGGATAAAATAACCTCAGGTTAGCCTGAAGATATTTGAATACATAGCCTCCTTTAATGTATCTATCAAAAGGTTTCCTCTCACTCTTATAATAAGCTGGGTGGGAACATGGCCGGGACCTCCTCCTGTGTTCTCTGGGTTAAAGTTGGACGAGGGGCTGCACATGAAGTCTGGTTTGAGGACATATCCGCAGCGACCATTTGGTAGGAAGCGACCTTGGTTCAAGTCCATCTGCTCCCCGGGAGTTTGGAAGTTCAGAGCCACTGCAGGAAACAGTGAGGAAGAGTTTGTAAAAACGTTAAAAAAAAACTTTCTTTGGCTCATATTGGAGGGCTTTTTTATTATTAATAATTTTCATTAGTTGATATTAAGGAAGAATGCGTTCTCCTGGAGTGGCGTACTAACCCATCTGGCATCCACTGTTCCACATTTCCTGGGGATCATAGTTGGATGATTGGAGACGTTGGCCAGAGGGGTAGATCCGGCTCAGCTGCCTGCTGTTGTGTCTCACAAAAAGCTTCCCTGCAAATGAAATGAGAAAAATAAATTTTCTGTTGAAGGAGCTGCAGCAAAGCAACATCAGGAAATCTTCTCAAATGTCTTTGTGTGTGACCGCAAGATGCAATTATTTCTACTTTCATACCAGAATCTTTGATAAGCCTGAGGGCTTCGCTCTCAGAGAAGGAGGACATTTCATGGGCCGCTTTTTCTGATGTGTTTTCAAAGCCACTGAAGGGGACACTCCTGCAGTACACCACCAGCTCCGACAGCTCAGGGCTCAGTTTGGAGGAAACCTGGACCAGACCAAAACTAATATATCAAATATAAATGCTGATTTGCTATGAAACACTTTAGATTTCTACATTTTAGCTGTTTTTATCAAAAAGTTTAAATATATTGACTCAGCAGTGGCAGAGGCCAGCATCATATACAGCTTTCTGTAGGTTCCAGGCCCCTGGACTCTACTGCAAACATAAGTAGTAGTAAAAAAGATTATAATAACAAATTAGAAGAATATAATAAAATTGTAAAATTAAAGAAGCCTTGTAGTGAGGAAGTAGGTTTTATTTTACCAAATATATTTTTGTCAATTATTTTTGACATGAGTTAAAAACCATCTTTCTTTTATAAATGAAGCTAACGTATTCGTAAAGAGATGTTGATTTAGAATGAACCAGTAACCAGTAAAACACAGTAAACTACAGGCTTATTATTTAAATTAATTATTAATTTAATATTTGATTTTTCTTCCTGGTGACAGAACTCATTGGCCTCGAACAACAGTTCCGTGTGTTGAAAACTGCTCCACTGACCCTTGCTGGATCCTTCCTGGGTGTGTTCTTGTTGCTAATGCCTTGTTCATCTTCTGAACTTGAGGAGAAACTGGCGCTGCTGCCTGTTTTGTCCAACTGGCCCAGGTGAGGAATGTGCTTCTTCCCCTTCACCAGTATACGCCCTTTCAGCTCCTGCAGCCAAAGGTAATGGAACAAGTGACTTCATTAGAAAACCAGTGTTTAAGATGCCATTTATACCTCACCATGTTATATCTGTATGTGAGTCAGCGTTGTACCTCAGGGGAAGGCAGCTCTCTCAGTGGTTCGTCACTGAGGGGTTTAGTGAGGAGTCTCCTGCCGAACACAGAGCGGAGGTCTTTGGCCATGATAGCCTGCTGGTCTACAGAACAGTGGTTCTCTATGGAGAGAATAATGGGATACGGGGACGCCTGCAGGATGACAAACAAAAAAATAAAAAAAATATTCTGCTAAGGTATAGAAATAGAATAGAATGTAACCCAGAAATATAATATTAATACATTAAATTAAAATCGTCATTTGTGTCTAGTGTCCCTAGATTAAAAAAAAGAAGAATGGTAGAAAATAAATGAATAACATCGCTTGTGGTCAATCAGGGTTCTCGCACCTTGAAAGCATACTGAGAAATGGTTTCAAGGACTTCCTTGAAGGGCACTTTAGAGGTGAGTGTGTGGCCGTGGTAGATGACAGGTTCACCTTTGTCTCCGTCCCAGCAGTCCAGCTCCACAGAGCGACAGCCCTGATTCAGAGCCCTGACGGAGACAGAGACACCACGTGTATCAAACAGGATGACCAGAGCAGGTGATTGACGGCGACAGAACGCTCGGTGTCAGAATACCTGATGTACGGCTCTGTGCTGCTGGCACTGGTCACCTGGTCCTTGGTCAGGTAGGTGTTGTGCGATGAGGAGATGAAGTAGTGGGCCAGGGGCTGACTCATGTCCTGATGGACTCTGGCGTGGTCAGGATTAAACACGTTGTTCTCCGCCGACAGCATGTACATGGTGAAGCCATTCTGTGTCATGAACTGGTTTTTCTGAGCTGTAATACATATTTACCTTCAGGTCGGTTATCTTGGAGCAGGTTTCGCAAGCAAAATGCTGAATAAATAGCTGGAAGCTCCCCTTCCAGCTATTTATTCAGCATTTTGCTTTCTCATATTTCAGATTACGTTCCCTGTTTTTGGATTCAACACATGCACAAGTTTAGGTTTAAAAGTAGGTTTAAGCAATTATGAAATGAGTGTGAAGACTCTAAACCATTAAACTATAACCCTTTTATATGCCTGACAACCGTCTCACGTGACATGTTTATACAACAAACTGAAGTAATGTTTTATTTCTAAATAAACGGTTGAACACGTCTATTTAGCTCTTTTACAAAAACCCATTAAATAAACAGAATATAAGTCAGAATAAATGTAAACATCATCTTTTGAACGCACTGTGGTTAAAATAGTTAGCAATTATATTAAGTCATAACAGATTTTGCATAATGTTTAGTTTTTAAGTTTTAATGTCTCATGTTTATTAATGTCTAGCATTGTTTTTTAATTGTCTAATCTTAGCTAATGCCTGACTTGAGTTCATTTTTTCTTTGTTATATTTGTGGACAGCCTCGGGCAAATTCAAATATGTACTTATTCATATATCTTTCTTTCGAACACCTTTTTTTTTTTGAACACCACTTTTACCTAATCTTTTTTGTTTTCCCAAGCTAGCTTAAGTTATCTAGCCTGCTATTAGCTCTCAGCTATATCCACGCATGACAATATAATATATAATAAACAGTTAAAATGTGTCTGTTTTGTTAAGCAAAATTAGCTACATAAGTAAATCTAATTCCGTTACTAACCATTTAGATACATTTTTGTAACATTTTTAGTTTTAGTTCTGTTACAAAACAAGTCGGTCTAAGTAAAGGAGATATAAAGGCACATCATTGAAATATTATTTTCTTGTAGTACTTTTGTGCAGTGCAGGATGATTGGTATCCACTTTCGTCCTGAAATGCAAAGCTACAATTTTGTCTGGAGACAGCAGCAAAGGGGTAATTATAGTGTTTACATGAAATATTGCTGTGAATCTGGTAATGAAGGTTCTCAGGGACCTACCCCAGTCGTTAAGCTCGTAGGTGAGGATGAGACTCTGGGCATGACTCAAAGAGGGGTCCTCCCCCTGGTCTCCCAGGAAGTCGCGCAGCTCGGCAGTAGAAAGCACGCAACCGTTGCTTGAATAGTGTCTAAACACGGCGTCCAGCTCGGGCCTTCGCAGCAGCTCCCTGCAGAACTCCTCAATCTCGATGTGGTCCAGGCGGCCATCGCCTGAGCGGTCACACCTCTGGGCCGCAGGGGAGATGGACGAACACGGGAACAACAGAAGTGGAAATGATGCACATTCCAATTGTATTTTTGGGAGAGTATAGAATTCTCTGTGGGTGAAGTGTCACTACAATAAATCAGACCATTACACTACACCCACTTACATTAAAGTTATGGCTCTCTGAGGAGGGTCAGGATTGGAAAGTGCATCAGGAAGGACATAAAAACTAACAACTCAGCTGTAATAGGGAGCTGAGAGACGGAGCAGGCAGTAATGCCCCACAATAAAGAAATAACAGGCCAGTGATTTGTTGTGAGGAAGATAAGAGAACGGAACAAGATGTGGGTGAGGGGTGGATGTTGGTTTGCTGTTGATTTGGCAATTGGCTCAAACCCCTGACATTAGCGTGGCTAGCGGAAATAGCTAGTAAATAGGACTTCTGTTCACAAACACATTCGCTCCGAGACATTGCCTAGGCACCAAAAACCTCACACGACCCTCACCTTGAACAGCGAGCGGGCGTACTGCTCACTCAGGTCGATGTTAATCATCTGAAGCAACCGCTTCACTTCATCGTAGGTCATCTTCCCGTCTTGGTTCTGATCTGCTCTTCGCAGGTAGCCTCGGATCCAGGTGTGGAGAGTAAAGGAATAAAGAGCGGTCAACAGTGATGCAAACCTGACCTCCCTGTGACCTCACTCTAACTACAGAGGAAAAGAACTAACTGTAGTTTGTGGGAAATACAGTATTACTACATGAAATACAAGACAAAGCCTGCAGATGTTAGAGGGTAAACTGAAATTAGTTGAAGGACAATTTGATCAAATCTTTGGTCCAATGTTTGAACTATTTCTTCCTAAATTCAACCATTTTTAAAAAGACTTCCTGTGTTATTTGGGGGGCAATATTTTTTTTTAATAAAATATTTTTTAAAGGTTTTTTAAGTGACCTTGTATTTTGGAAAAAAGAAGATTCTCCATCAAAACAAAAACACCCACTTTTAACTGCAATAAAACATTAAGATAATTAAATTATTATTATTATTATATTAATCTTATAGCTTGATCTTGAACAACTGTATATATCGGTTTAAGTTTTTTTATTAGGACTAAAATGTCATACCCTGTGCAATTTCTTTCTTTGTTTATAGAATTTTGGACAATATTTAGAATATACATGTTCAATATCAATAAATAAGTAAATTATGGATATATAAATGTTTGATGATTAAAATATAAAAATGATTTCATTTTATGATCAGGTTGCACTGCTTATGTTTCCAAATTCACAACAGATACAAATAAAAACTCATGTTAAAATGTGTTACGGGTACTTGCAGATCTAAAAGTAATACTGAAGTATTTGCAATTTACTCTTGAATAAGGTTGGACTCCCCTTAGGTAGAAAATACATTTGATTTGAAAATGAAAAGGCACATCTGGCACAACAGACACTGAGATACTCAAGCTGTGGTAATTGGCAGGATATTGGTCTAGTTTTTCCTTCTGGGTCATATTGGCCACCCTTTCCTTTAACGTGCGAAGCCCCCGCACCCAGCGCTGGGCTTCATCCTCGCAGGTGCACAGGAGGTCCAGACTCTTCCTGGCTCCTCTGAAGACCACCGTAAAGCAGTGGTTGTCGGGTACCGAGCCGGAGAGCCGTCTCAGCGCCTCGGACTGGCAGCCTTCCCGCACGCACTCCACCTCTGTCACTGCGACTGTGAGATGAAGAAGGTGAAGAAGAGACCAGTTTAAATAAACAGTTTCTACTGGTGGATACATGTACATTATCTGTACAAACCGCTGCCACCTAGTGACTGGAGGCTTGTTATCATTCAAGCATTACAGCAGTGGTACACTTATGTCCAGCGTGCCATATTCCATTGGAAGCACATCACGCCCCACCAGGGGGGCCCGCCCCACTATTTGAGAAGTACTGTGTTAGAGTAACCAAGGCAACGGCTGCACATCAGAGTAACACTTGTACCGTTCCCACAGTAAGACCAGGGCTCCAGGCAGAGCAAACCAGTGACATTTTGCTGTAAGGCAAGGGATCTAGCCACTTTTCCACAGTGTGACCCCCAGCCTGAAAACTGGGCTCAAAGCAGACATAGCGACACAGAGCGTACACTGCACAGTGAAACTGCAGGTATTAAAGATCAGAAAATTCAAGGTTCTAAAATGTACTCAGTGTCTGTCGTTTGTCCAAACACAAGCTGACTGCGAGATGATCCTGATACAAGAAGTTTATTTAGCAGAGGCGCTCACTGTATGATGCTCACTCAGCTGTACAGAAAAATCTGTACCAGTGCTACTGCTGACAATAGGCTCATTCTCTCCGTGGAGGTCATGAAAGCCTCTGCTGTCCACCTCCTCAGAATGACTTCACATTCCCCCTTTATGTCCCAGAGACACAACAAAAGTAACACACGTGTGTGTGTGTGCGTGTTACGCAGTAGGAAGAGTGTGAAAACCATGCCCATGAAGACCCAACACGGAACTGTGAGCCTCGGATCGCACCGAGCCGTGGAGAAGAGTGGAGTCACACACAGACACACGCTGTAGACATGCTGAGCAGTAAAGCTTTATCAGGGACCGTCTGCAGATGTGGAGCCCTGCCCTCACATGACTGGTCGTCGCCGTGAGTCTGAGTGTCCCGTGATGCAACTCAACCACGCTGCGTCTATTTGTGGCACTGTCGCGCAAACCTGATGGCCTTCACCACCCACTGACCCACAAACCTGTCGTTCCTACCCTGCCACAGTGTCCCCCTCCTCCCCCCCCTCCCCCACCCCCCCCACGTTCAGTAAAGCCATCCCACCATCCTTCTGTTCCAGCCACAGAGAGGAAATAAAAACAGGAAAAAAGTTTTTGTCATATTCAGAATGTCAGTTAATCATGATTCATCATCATCATCATCATCATGATCATAATTGTGATTGCACCACAGTGGATATGACTAATCAACTAAAAAATAACATTTGACAGGTCTAATATTCATCGCTATAATTCCTCCCTTTCGTGCCTTAAGAGCAGAAGACCCTGCATAACAAATATGTTGTTCCCCACCCCTCCACTACACACACACACAATTTTATGATGAAAATTGTTGCTGGTTTTCTATTGACGTACTGAGTCAAAGTTCAACACAATCACCTACGACTGCCCTCTCACGTTACACCACATTTATTCTGTCTACAGAGAAAATATGAGTCAGTAAAAACCCTCGCCCGGCGGTTAAAGGACTTTATTTGATCCTCTTAAACTACCATATTGGCGTGAGTGCTCTGAATCACACCCACCTGATCACGTGCAGGCCCTGCTTTATTTGCTTTCCTTGATTTGTATCACTGTTCTCCACCAGACTTTAAACGGATAAGACAAAGGACAAATGAAAAAAAATCTGCCTTAGTTCATAAACCTTGGCCTTGAACAACCATTCAGCCCTCTCCTATTTTCAACATTGTGTTCTCCTCTTCCTTCCTGTGTGGAATGTTAGAATTGCTGGATACAAAAATAGATTTCATTTTCTGCACACCGCAAAATCTAGGTTTGCTAATAAGATCAGGCCACTTCAGCCCCAGCCTTATCTGAACTGGTTACAAATATTGGCATTTGTTTGGTCAGTTTGATCATTACCCCGATGTTTAATGAGGCTCGGTGCAGAGGACAGGGGGAGAAGAGGAGCCGACAGCTCCGAACAAAAACTCAGCAGAATGTTTGCACTCACGTACATTCCTGACTGCTCTGTATAAAGGCTCTTTACTGGTGATTGAATGGTTCAAATTAAATTCAGAATCCCACCATGTCTCCTTTAACTACCTGGGTTTAACTGCTGCGTTCCCTTCGACAGACCCTGACCTCCAGAGACAAACATTTGCCTCATTTTAGGCCTTTTGGACTCCAGCCCGTGAATACACAGAGAAACCTTACGTCAAGGAGTTCAAATCCGAATCCGTAGCGCACATACTCACACGTCTGCTGGGCTTTGGCTTTGCGGGAGCTCTTCGTTGATTCACACCACACGGTGAGGCCGTCTTCCAGCAGCCGCAGGCTCCGACTCTTCTGCCACCTGGGTGAGCGGACCTTCACCATGCTGGAGCCCTGCATCATCATGTGTATGTCCTCATTGTCCAGGAGACCTATAGCATACGCACATAAACGCTCCTTGAGTTTTTCAGGTAAAAACATAATGCAAATTGAAGGTGAATAGTTTGACGATGAGTCACTGCATCACCTGACTCTGACCGGTTTGGCCTGTGTTTACTGTGACGACACACAATCGTGCACTTGTCACACGTGTGTCAAGTCTTTGTGTATTTTCTCATTATATATAATGAATGTTTTATCTCTTTTTAAGCCATATGATGATTACTGCTGGGAAAAATAACTATTACTCCACCGTGGTAAAAACAAACCTTGTTGACTGTAGCTGTCAAACTTTCTTTGCTTCGACCTGAAGCCAAGTTTGTTTATGTTTCCCTCCTAGTTCCTCCGTAATATAAACTGATAATCACACAGTGAGTTCATGCAGAGGTTTGATACAGCAGTGATCAGTTCTAGATTTATTTCTCTCTCTCTCTCTCCACAGGACCAGACCTAAAGACAGCAGCAGCTTCTCAGACTGTTATAACAATTAGAGCCTGTTCGTCTGCATCGCTCATACTGCTTCTCCCCTGACGTTACCTTGTGTGGAAACAGAATCAGGAGTGACTCAGGAGGCACCGAGTCGTTTTACTTAGAAAAGTCCAGATTCTAAGGACGGAGGATCCCGTACTCTTTATTTGTTGTGAACACCGTAGGGGTCGGGGTGTGCTGCAGGAGAAAATAAAAGAGGAGCGCACCAGCTCAAAGGATGAGATGTGTACTGTATACAGTACGGGGTGAAGGTCAAGCCAAATATGGAGTACTAACATCAGGGTTAGACAGAGAAAAGAAGGTGTGGAGCCCTTGTTAAAAACAAGTTTTCTTAGTTAGATATTTTTCAAATCTCTATCTAATATTGCTGGTGTTTGGAATAAATCTTTACAACAGTAAATCCAAACTCTACTGAAAGTTATAATTCAGTAAAAAAATAACAGGTTTAACAAATTTGCCCAAAACCATTGTATATCCTTTGACCCAGTTTGTGGGTCTCAACACTGTCCACTAAATGTAAATGATTTCTACTGAGAAAGTATTTAATGCCACTTCTTACTCATCTACTCCTACACATAATCCAACTAAGTCAAGTATTTACCCTCTGGACTGGGTTGAAACTCAATCATTGGCGTTTTTATTGATTGATGAAGACAGGATTAGGCTTATCAATCAATCAATGAATGATAAAAAATAAACTGGGACAATATGCTGTGATTATGGCTTCACAGTACAAGCCCTTGTGCATTGGGCTAAAACCAGTTGCCTTATTTCAGCTGGATTAACGGGGGCCTCTAATTAAGAGTCTTAAAAAGAAAAAGACTGGAGAACGTGTGGTGAAATTACACTTCAGTCTCAGTTTGTTCTTCTCACCTCTAAAGATCTGCCTAAACACTGTTGAGGGACTTTCTTTCTCCTCAAATCACGGAGAAGTTCACATGCAGTCAGTGCCAAATGGCTCCTCGGAGGGCCCCCGAAGCTACAGCACAACAGACAGCACTTTCAGCTCTTCACCCCCCCCCCCAACCAGAAACACACTGGGTGCAGCAGACTCTCTCCCTGAATACAAAGAAATCCCCCGACCAGTCCTCCATCCATGACAACCATGTTTTTCCGAACTGTAGTTAAATGTACGGCATTCCGAACCAAGTGGAGCACAAGGAGCTGATTAACAGCAGGTCACTGGTCTACGCTGCCCGAACAGCCTTAACGGTCTCTGATCAAACCACGTCTACATCTTTTACTACCCCCCCCCCCAGTCCAGCCTTTACCACTGAGTACTGCTTTCCTGCACCTGGGACAATCAGTGTCCTCTGTGATAGTACACCAAAACAACATCACATCTTGAAAGACTGGCAGGAAAGACTTGTGAGTCTTTTCACCACAGTGAAAATGAAAGGGGGCGAGGGCAGGGTTCTCTGGGCAGCCATTTCTTTTCACCGTCCTGACGAAAATCAGTTTGACGCCACCTTCATCACATGGTCAAAGCACTGCATACCAAGGAGCTAGCAACCACACTAATGTGTTATGAAGCAACCTTTATAACGGCACACTGAGACGAGCAACAGAGGTGAGTTAGAAAATGTTACAAAACAGTAAAAGGATACAGATATTTGACCACGTTTACACTTTTTCACACTACACCTCATGTCAGCATGAGGTAGTATATATTAGACGTGTTCATCATGATATATATATGACACAATCACTATGGTATATATTTGACATCATCACCATGGTATATATTTGACTATTCACCGTGGTATATACTGTATATATATATATGTATGTATGTATTTAGGCCACTCAGGGATGTACAAACTCACTAGTGGAAACTGACCTAGTAGGTGGCAGTAGTGCTCCCCACAGACTGCCAGACTGCAGTTGGCGTTCAAAGAAAAAGAAGGGAAGCTGCTTTTCTAGCATAAAAACTAAACTAAACTAAACTTCATAGAAAATGCTGAGTTTTATTATTATTAAAATAGTTGCTGCTTGAAAGAGAAGAGTATCAGATGTTGGAGGAACTGGAAAATCAGGAAGCACACCAAAAATTATTCAACACAACTTTTTTGGGGGGAAGGGGGGGAGACAATGGATGATGGATTTTGATTGATGAAGCAAAAATTAAAATCCAGTTATTTTGAGCATTTTTGGGGAGGGAGGCGCCTAAGCCTATTTTCCATTTCACAGCACACAAGTTTTAGCACCAGGAATGAAATCCAAGGACATAAATGTCTATGCAACTAAACCCCTGGCATTTAAAACAGCTCCATCAGATTCCAGCCCAGTGCTGGATGCTGTTCCTAGGTCTGGGTGGATGTCATCCAAAGAATTTCAAGTGCTAAGACTTTTTCATCTGACATCCAGTCTAAATATTTTATTTGGTATGAGCCTATGATATTAGGAAAGCTGTGTCAAACTTAGAGAGTGAAGGTGATCACTGAGAGCTAGCAGCTCCAACACCATTAGCTCCTGAACTTAACTCTTGGGATTAGGGAGAAGGATTATTTTGGGAACATAAATAAGTGTGGTCCCTGTAGGGCCAATGCATGCAGTTCTAATTTTTTCCTGCAGAGGAAGAAGGCTTCATTGTACTACATCCACCAAGGTGGATCCACCTAAACAGAACAAGCGCTAAACCCTGCTAGCCTGGGAAAAAAAGGACAATGGCTTCTCGCCGGCAGTATAGAAACAATAAACAATTTTAAAGAATCCAATGCAGCGTGTTTTCAAAGGGTGTTATTGAGCCATTGAAGCAGCAGGGGAGCCTTCACGCTGCGCAGAAGATCCGAAAGAAAAACCACCAAAACAGCCCGTCAGCTGCAAAATGTGTCTGCGTGAGTCCTCTCCACACAGGCCCACATTCCAGCTCCTCCTGGATCAGGGTTCACATTTCCCTCAGCATAACAACTGTCACAGGGGCCAGCTCACAAGATCATACACTTGCATAAAGATAGACCAGTTTCAGTGTTGCTGATGTGGATGACAGGCCAATTAAAGTTTCTCACTCCTGCTGCACAGCTGTCCCTGAGGGACCGGTCAGGTGGCAGGAAGGTCAATCCAGGCTAAACACAAGGTCCGAACTGGAACAATTTCTAAAAGGAGAGGTGCAAAAATGTACACAAATCTGTACTTGATTGGATGACAGAAAATGTCCAAAAGGAAAAAGTGGAAGAAATTTAAATGTCATTTTAATATCCAAGAATTTGGATATGGTTCACAGGAATCTGACAAGAGGCAGCCGATCTGATCGTTACTCTTTTCTCTCTTTATGTCGTTTGTGCTATCATAGTAATGGTCGAGTGCGGCTCTAATGTAAGAGGCCAGTGGTCCTTCCAAGGTCGGTTACAGCCCATGGCAAGAAACACAAAGCTTGGATGTTATTTGTTGAAATTTGCAGCAATTATATTATTAATAATTAATAATAGATTTCATTTATAGCTGTGGACCATGACTTTATCTGAAAATGTACACAACTTCCTTCAGCAAATAATATTCATACTAAGGGCTGCTGGATTATTAATCCATCCATTATCTAGAGATTTTTAATTTTTTTTTTTTTTGCAGGGTTGCGGATACTTATCGACTCTGGAAAGACAATTACTGCCCGTAATAAACAGAAAACGTAAATGTTCGGTTTTTCCTCAAAAAGCTGATAATATCACATTCAAATATTACAAACAAATACACGCAAATACAAGCAGCACTGTAGTCTGCTTCCTGTATCTCTTTAAAACAAAGTGACATAATCAAGGATTATATATAATAACATATACAGCATCGAAACTGATACACAGAAACAGAATGGTAATACCAGTTATGCGGACCAATAGGAGAATTTAAAACAAAACAGAACTGGGTTTTTAAGACCAAAATATATTTGTCAGCGTTTTAGCGCACTGCCAGACGCTAAACATGTATTCACAACTTTGGCAAACTATATGTAATAAATTCCAGTCAGGAACTCCATCCAAGAACATGGGAGCCTGGTCCATTAAAGACCAGTGCCAAAAGAACACATGTGCAGCAAATACTGGTGTGAACTTATTTATCTGTCTCTGGCTGAACACTGCTGCTGCTCCTAACTCCGTCTGCTTCTTCTCTCCACCTTCTGCCATCTTAACTACTTCACTGACTTGTTAAAACACCGCCACCAGAGTAAATCCTCGAGTCGAGCCTTAAAAAAGAACGGACGTACGGGTAAGCTAACCACTCAGGGACGCAAGGCTTCCAACACGCAATGTGGCAAAATAATTTGAATAATAATCCGATCAGTCTCGCTACTATTAAAATCAAAATCAATTGCCTTCATTTTTATATAAATCTACGACTGTATTCCAGCCTAAATACAACAATCTGTCGTAATCCCAGGCTCACAGGCCACGGGAAGTACAGTTATGTGGGAAGTATTTGCGAAACAATCACATGATCACATGATCCAAGACCTCTGATCTCACATTTTTCAAGGCAGTTTGATGTAGAACTCAAGTATTTTCATGTGATTTAAGGATTTACAGGAAACAGGTTGAAGGTCACTCGAACTGACTGACGATGACACGTCTTCCCGGGTTCGGGGGGCGGTGATTTCACTGACTTCCTTACTGCAGTAGTGGGATGCTCAAATATAGCTTTGGAAAAGAGATACAGTTTCATTACGCAGGCTCCCCTGAATGCAAGAACAAGTGAGTGCATAGTGTCAGAGTTTCAACATAGGCTGCTGAGTCTGTTTCCAGGACTCGGTCCTTATGTCCACTCACATGTCTGCGAAGGTGCTGAGGATCAGAGTCCAACTCCTGTAGATTCAATATCTGCAGCAGAGATTTTTGATTGCTCTGAGCCAAAATAAACACTGAATATCAATTACACATGGGATGGAAGAGCAGACTTCCAGTATATAACCATCTGGGAGAGTTCTGGGGGGGCTAACTGCTAATGATAGGTCAAAAAAGTGTGTAACAGGTGCCTTCCATTTGAACCTGATGTATTTTTGTATGCACCAAAAGGTACGATGACAAACTCGCATCATGTCAACTGCTGTATGTAAGACCTGCATATTTTACCGTTCAATCCGTTCGTTTTTGCGTCCATATCTGACAAATCATACATTCGCCTGTATTTTACCGTCACCTGTGATTATGAGTTACTGATCGATCATGACTGGGGTGTCAAAGATACGGCCCGCAGGCCAAAACCGGCGGTTCAATCTGTCCCATTTTGGAATTTTGGAAGCAATAAAAATGCACAAACACTTCATCTTTGTGAAATTATATTTAATTAAATATGTAGATTTTCTAATAAACTTGTACTTGTACAAAGGACACGTGTCTAATCAGGCTGGATGTGGCCCCTGAACCAAAATGAGTTCGACACCCCTGGATTATGACAACTGAAACACCTCATACTCAGTCCATAACAGCAGAAGGAAGCTCTGGCCAACCAGAGTGACAGCTGTCGCCACGCGTAAGAGCCTGACACAGCAGTACTGTTCCAAACCATGGAACTTCATACTGAAGCTCCACCAATAGACAGGAAGCTGCACTGGTTTCAGGAGTAACTCCCCAACAACAGACCAGACGGTGGACAAAGGGCCTCTCTCTCACTTGATTAATCACGTCAGTAAACATGCCCTCAGTGAGAAGGCAGTCTTTATCACCAGTTCTAAATCTTGTCAACCACGACATCATGACAACTATGTAAATTATAATCACAAAGTTATTGTATGAATTAAGTGATTACTGGCCCTAAATGTTCAGCTGTTTATACAGAAGGCCATAGAAAAGCAATTTAGAGTCAGACCTACAAAGAAACACAGAGCAGTTCAAGTTCCTACTATCTTTATCTGATTACATAGCTTAAAAGTTATTTACTTTATTTTAATGTGGAGCACCAACTTATATTTCAGCTAAAATGTTCATTTTTATGACTTGTTTTACTTCTTTTGAGTCAATTTGGTGCAGAGGAATTAGACATATAATTTTGATGCATGTATTTAAGATAGGGGTTCCCAGCCCCCGGTCCGTGGACCAGTAATGGTCCAAAGGTAATTTGGTACCAAGTCTCAGGAGAAAAATGAATAACTGTCTTCATTCAAACAGAATCTGGTGATTTCTATTGACTTTCTTCATTTAAAATTTCACAGATTATAAAATGGTGGATAACGCAACTATTTACATAACGGCAGAAATGTCAGCACAATATGGGTCAAATAGCCTGACGAGCATCAACAGTGGTCCAGATTTCCAGACATCCGGCGTCTTCTCAGACGGAGTGACAGGTGCTGTGCTGCTGCTCAGCAGGTGTCTATTTTGGGTAAGTTGTGTCCAATGTTTACGTGGACTTGTGTGGAGAGGGGACGGCCTGTCACTGCTCTCCTGAGAGGGAGTGGGCAGCAGTGGGATGGTAATGGTGAGGGCCCTGAATCACACTGGTGAGCAGTTCAGTGTTTCAGAAACACATGATCATCTCCTCCCACACACACACTCACGTACTGTCAACCTGAACTCAGAGCGACCTGTGACCAATCGATTAATGAGATTTACCAGAATTAAGTGACAGCTGTTTCCCTGCTGTATTACACGTCACAGCAGAAACACAGAAACTGAAGGAACAACATTATGAGTTCACTTCAACGCTGGCTTCACTGTCATTCAACAAGCAGTGACCAAGTCCTGTAACTGTTTATGAATAAACAGAGGCTGCACCAAATGACACTGTCCTCCTGGTCACATCAGACCTGCTACAACCACACTCCTTCATCATTAATAATACATTTATTTTGCTGTATTGTAGAAATAGTTTTAACCGCTAAATCACATAAACAAAGTTTGGCCAGCAATAGCCTTCAATTAGCTTAAAGTACAGCTAACAGTTAGCTAGCATAACCAAAGATAACCAATAGCTGCAACATACTACTTAGATAAATGAAATGTGTTGATGACTATTATTCTTATTTTGTTTTTTCTTCACTTTTTAAAAACAGAAACACCATCTGTAATGTCACTAAGGATTCTTCTTGATTATTGATTAAAAATATAAAATATTGCTAAAATTTTGCCCAAACAGAAGAGAGATGAGAAAATATAACATTTGTTCCACAATCGGCCCCCAGGCCAGGTATTGGATATGCCCTTGTTAAAGTAATAAGGAAATATTCAAACATGGGGAAATCAAAGTGTAGATTATTATCACCGGATACAAATACATATGTACATAGATTAATGTTTGACATTTTATGATTGAATAATTAAAGGATGTTCACTATCCGGTCCCAGGTTTTGATTTGCAGCAGTACAGTTACTAACGCTGACTGAGACTCAACAGTTGAGCTGAGTGTTAATTTAGTTACATAGACAAATATGATGATGCTTCACCAGAAGGACCTGGACGGCCTGTCCACCTACCGAGTCTCCTGATGGGGTCCATGGTCTTCTCGGCCACCTTCCTCCTCTGCTCCTTGGAACTGCTGCTCGCTGACTTGCCACTCCCCAACATGACTGAAACTTGGAGGAACTCCTCAGAACTTTCCGTGGAAAGCAGCGCACTGTACGTGTGTGCAGGTGTCTCCACGAAAACGCGGGTTTGTGCAGCACACGGAAGACTGCAGAGACGGCACACGGTCGCCCGGAGAGCGGACAGGACAGCAGTGGAATGGACCGTTATTCCTTTTCCACATGTATAAAAGGTCCCTCCCCACTGCGGTAATTTGACTCGCTACTTTACGAACCCACACCTCCTCCTCCTGCTGAGAAACTAGGGATAGTCAAGCGGCCCTGTGTGACCGCAGGTCAGAACAGAAAACACTTTACCATAATCTCTATTTAGAATTTTTTTCTAAATTATATCTATCTATTTATCACAGGCAGGTATTAGCCTGTGATAGATAGATCACACTTGACTGCACTGTATTGTACATTAGTTTTTAGTTTTGCACTTTAATGTTTTGCCTGTCTTGTCTACACATGGGACAGTGAGAAATTAAATTTCGATTCATTTGTATGTGTAGTACATGTAACATAGTGTTACCACCTACAGAACAATCTCTTGATTTTTTTTTTCATTTATTTAACCAGGAAGTCCTTTTAAATTATAAAATCTCTTTCCCATAACAGACATTTATAATAATAAATAAAAAAAACTACAGAACACCCTGTAGTGGCCTCTTCTACCCCTAAAGTTACTAAGAGATATAAGGCAGGTGTGTGCGCACTCTTTTGGCTTGGCTATTATTCAAAGGACAGAGCTGAGACACAGAAGGCTGCAGAGATTAGGCCCAGTGCTGGTCAATGATGTTCAACTGACAAAACTAAGTTAAAATAGTTGCAGTGTGTTTACTGACTGGCCCAGTTATATCAGTTTAAAGGCAATCATCACTTCTGGATAACATTTTTTTCGAAACTTTATAAAACATTTTTATGATACAACTTCAAGGCTATGCTCCAAATTCCTTGAACAGATAAGGCAGTAGAAAAAAAATAAAATAAAGATCGATGATTGATTAAATCTTTCATTCTTGTTCTTCATTCTTTTCAGGGTTGTGTAAGGGAGCTGGAGCCAATCCCAGCAGTCATCAGGTGGGATCAGCTCCAGGTGCAGGGCACACCCTGGACAGTTCACACATCAGTCACAGGGCCAAATACGGACCGTTCACACTTCCACTCACAACAATGGTTATGCTCAGAGGGTCCAAATGATCAGATCCCCCAATTTGTATGGACTGTGGTGTAAAATGTACCTCCATTACAGCTAGGACACCATAGCACACAAGGAGGAACATGCAGGTTCTGTACAGACAGTGCATTAGTCATAGGTTGCAGGTTCAAACCAGTGATGTTTTTGCTCTAAGGCATGAGGTCTAACCCCTGTTTTTACCCTTTCGTATTAGGCAAAAGGGGCATTGTTTCCTTGAAACAATCCATGGAGTTTATAGGAGACAACAGCCGTATGAGGGGAGTCAATGGGTCTCTTTAAATTTCATGACATGCCTACACATCAGTGGTACCGTACCACAACATGACTGCTCAGCTTTGGGCCGGTAGAGTTGGGTTATTTGCTTCACTCTTCCTTCCACAAATAAATGTATAGTAAATAATATACTTCCTGGATAATAATTTAAATGATAAATTACCAATTTTCGAATTAGTCTTGGATCAGGTTAGAAAAATGTGATTGGTTGTTTACATCCAACTACATGACTTCAGAGAATACGAATATAACAATACAGCTGTTTCTGTGGTACAGTTCCTAATACTGCTAAGAGCAGCCTATAATGAAAATATCACATTAGTATGCATTTGCTCTGGTTGAGTACAAAACAGAAACACTACTGAAGTGCCTAATTATTTATATCCATGACATGTGCTGCACAATCACTGAGTTTATTTAGAGTAATAAGCGTGTGTAAGTCATGCCCTTTCACTCTCTCTGACTTAATTGGGACCAGCAGATATTACAGAAGTTACAGGTCGCATGTGTATAGTTTGAACAATGAGGCCAAAGGAATTTACAGAAAACACTGATATGCAGTGATTTATTATCTGTTTGGAATTACAGACAAAGCTGTTTTTTTTTATCTAATTGGCTGCTGAGCAAAAATACTATCTAGAGATTAAACACAAATAAACCAATACAAGGTTACTTTTAAACAGAACTTGTAATGTAGCCTTTATTTCTTTATGTCTGACCATTATTCTCATTTAGTCACTGAGAGTTTTAAAAAGGAATAAAAAACAAATCATTTTTCTTTTTCTTCTCACAACAGGGGCAGGAAGAGGCCTTCCTTTCAAAATGCATTTGTCAAATGAATGAGGAGGCAGTGCCCCCTGCTGGTCACTTAAAATAACCGCTACAGACCCAACAATAACAATCAAATATGTCATGACCACCTTCTGCATGATGTCTGCATGCAGTCCACACGGATGCATAAATCCGTGGAGAGATGACGCGGTACCACAGCATTGTCTGGAAACTTGATTAAATATTTGTAATGAAGTTATAGCAGAAACCAGAGTTGGACAGGTCACAGCTGGGTGGTCTAGACCTAGGCATGTCACAGAGGACATAAAATGTGATCATCCCTGATCCACAGGCATCCACACATGGAATTGTGAACACTCACAGGCACAAATAAACAGGTTTGGTGGGGTGGGTGGAGTGTGCTTGAAGTGATACGTTTCCTTCACTCACTCATTTATTGCTGCTGGTATATTTGGTGTTTGCTCTGCTCACTCACTCTGCAGCACACCAATATGGAACTTTTGAAACTCTGAACTCTACGGACATTTTACACAATGCTCACACTTTAAGGCCACAAATTGTCTTAAAATGTATGTCTAATCTTTTTTCAGTTGCTGCAGCAACTGTATGTTGGACAGGGCCAGAGATTAAGTTATGCCTGCTAATCCTGTAAAAGCTGTGCGATCTACACAGGAGCTGCTTTGGTTCTGTGGCTGCTCTTTGATAGAGGAAGATGGCAAACCTCGGTGTGATTTCTCAATCTCCGTGGTCATTAGGTTTCACATTAACTTCTTCCTCAGACGACTCACTGCTTAGCTTGCCTACTTGCCAGAGCTGATACTCTGCCAGCTTCTATTAGTGGACACTGAGGTCCAACGTTGTTAAAAGCAACCAGATTCTGTCTTTACAAACAAATGTTAGTTACCAGTCTAAGAGGCCACCCTCACCAATCAACCTGCTTCTGCCACCATGCCTAGAGCAGAGTGGAAAAACTGTGAGGGAAGTGAACAAAATGAAGTCACTGGTTGACAAAGTCCTTTATGAGTGTGTGTAAACAGCCTTGTAATGTCTGCTGTGAATAAAAAAAATAAAATTATACCAAGCCTTAGTATATTAATATCATATTTTACAACACGTGTATCATTATAATTTCACTAACCAAATCGGATTGTCAGTCTTAACTGAAGACGTAAACGTAACTAAAGGTGGCAGCTAAAAGAACTAAACCCTCAGTGCTGCCTTCAAAGTCTGGCACCGTCTACTTCCTGAAACTGATATATTTCTTCGATGGTTTCAAATAGCGAACTTTTATATTCTTCTTTTTTTATGTTTTAGTTTCTGTAATAGAAAAACACCCGACAATATTGTTGCGGCAAAAAATTGAACTAAACCGTCGAAAAGAATCGTTATTACTGCCATGTAAAACTCTCTAGGGAAACGCTTCCTTCCAGCAATTACACCGATCCTGTGCAGCACACGGGCCTAGTTAGCATCAAGCTAACTATGTAATTGAGGGAGTTTCTGTTTTATTAACACTTCTTTCGCAAGTAAAATGGGTATGTTGACACCGGGGATACATTTACAAGCTATCGGTTTTCTGTTTGTTACTAATTTGCGCTACATAGCAACGTAATCTACCTAACATTACCATAGCTTTATGGGATATTGTGAGCATTTCAATATAGTTAAGAGTGAGCCACGTTTTACCGTGTGTAAGCTTTATATTAAAGTGGATTGGTAGTTTATGGGTATTTTTATTATTTTAATGGCTACGGAAAACAATGATCATTTGCTACATAACAAATGACTAAGCTTAGCCACACACACACACGACGCGACAGTGCATATTAAACTATCACTGCACATCAAGCGCATGGGAATGTTCTGAATATAAGAAAGTCGTAATCGCTCCGTTCAAACGTAACACGTAATTATTTCAGCGAGTTTACAATCGCCTGACCCACCCTTTGAATAACGAGGGTTTCGGAGCGTGTGCTCGCGGCGGCAGCTTGACAATAAATGTCGTTTGTTTACGCTGATTCCAGAGTTCTGCCGAGTCCCTGCCCCCACAACGTATCACTCCGCACAAGACCCAAGACTATTAAAACTGAACAAATCAACGGCCACTCTTCAATCAAATTTGCAATTATTTCCCGTTTCATCGCTTAAATAATTATAGTTTGGAAAGTAGCCATTTTAAGCGAGTTTCTTGAAGGAACAGAGAAAACGGACTACATCTCGCTAGCGGTCTTACTTATTTCGATACAAAATACAGGAGGGGTTTTCTTGTCGCAATCACTCTACAACATGTTCTGTGGCAAATGTGTAAACGTTGACTTTAAAAACACGCTAATATATACTATTATACGCTTATGGTGTAACATAATATACGTTAAAATGTTTTTATGGATTTCTAATTTGTAAGCTTGTCTCCATTCCACCTTTGTATTCAACATGGTAGATCCCGTCAAACTGCCTCGTACTATGTTCTCGGTTAAAACTACGTACTCGTGATTGATAACTGCACTGTTCAATCAGAAAAAACTTTAAGCGTAGCAACAGCAAAGTCGCTTTCTTGTCCAATGGACATGAAGAAAGGCGGGCTCTAATCGGCCCAACATTCGATCATTTGGTTGGTTCAATCTCCTGCCATTTATAATAGAGTTGTGGACTTTGTAGTTCGATACGTTGAACGCTGCAAGTGATAGAGAATGCTTTAAACGACATTTCCCAAAATGCAACCTGTGACACTGGCAGCAGCATGCGCGCGGTACGGAGGCGGAGTCACTATATAAACTGGAGCTCCCTCTTGTTAAGCAGCAGACAGGACACTGTTATAAGGGTTGGACGCTGTCTCTCAGTGAACGGCGTTCTGTGACAGCAGCGAAAGGGTTAATGTTAGTTAGCGACAGTTGCTCAGGCAAAACCCCTTGGAGGAGTAACAAGTGTGCACTGTTTTGAAGTTTACTTGTGCTTTACGAAAGTTTATATTTTTAAAGGCTTCGGTAGTTTTACTTTTTATAGTGACTTTGGCTCATTTGACATAGGTATATTTACTGACAGGATACCTTTTAAAAGTACATTTTGAGCTGAGTGTGTTCATAGTTTAAATATGCGCTAAAACCCGAGCCATCAGAGCGGATCGGCAGGATGACAGAACCAGCACAGAAGAGCCATCACCTGAAAACTTCAGGCAGTCCATCAGGTGGGAGCAGCGGAGCAGTTCTGGAGCATCTCTCGGCCAGCAGCCGTGGAGGACCGCTGAACGGCGACAGGGGGCGACAGAGGGAGCATAAGCAGAGGCAGCAGCAGCGGGCGGAGAGTGCTGAGGATGTCAACACAGACAAGTTGAAGCAAACGAAAGGCGGTCAGATGGGGGTGTGTCCTGCTTCAGCTGCCGGAAACAAGATCACCAAGTGCCCGGCCGCAGCTCAGGAGCACCAGGAATCTTCGGCTCAGACATCGGACAACGACAATCTGCCTTCGCAGGGTAAAAACACCGAAGACGGGCCACCGAAGGACACTTTGAACCAGGAGGAGAACTCCCACATCGACTCCGATACTGGGTTGGACGCGCGTCTGGGCAAGAAGCGGCACAGACGCAGGACCACCAGAAAAAGGCGCAACTGGAAGCCCTACTATAAACTTTCCTGGGAGGAGAGGAAAGTCCTGGACGAGAAGGAGACAGCCAGGGCTTCCAGGCTGAGAGAGGAGATGTTCGCCAAAGGGCTCCCGGTGGCCCCTTACAACACTACTCAGTTCCTCATGGATGAACATGATCGAGAGGAGCCAGATCTCAACACCGAGACTGGGATCAGGCGGAACTCGGGGGTCGGTGTGCGCCTGGAGGACACTTGCAGCGAGGAAGACCTGTTCGACAACGAAGATGATGACGATGATGACGGCAGCGGCGGAGGCAGCGACGGCATCGGGAGGCCCGGCAACGCGGGCGGGGAGTTTCTCCAGAGGGACTTTTGCGAGACCTACGAGATGTATCACGTCGAGAGTCTGCAGAACATGACCAAGCAGGAGCTGGTGCAGGAATACCTGGAGCTGGAGAAGTGCATGTCCCGTCTGGAGGAGGAGAACAACCGATTGAGGCGCGCCGTAGAGCCCGGAGGTCTGACCGTGGAGAGTTCCATGGTTCGACTCAGGGAGCTGGAGAGGGAACTGGAGAGACTGAGAGCCCAGAACACGGAGCTGCTTCTGCAGAACCAGCCCGACAAGGACAGGGCTCAAGTCGCTACCAACTAGACAAATACCTTGTAGGGACAACCCGTTGAAAAAAGGTAAAAAAATAAATAAATAAAAAATGGACTACTGCATTTAAAAAAAAAAAAAAAAAAGGACTCCCGCATTTAAAAAAAAAAAAAAAAATGGACTACCGCAATTAAAAAAAAAAAAAAAAAATGGACTACCGCAATTAAAAAAAAAAAAAAAAAATGGACTACCGCAATTAAAAAAAAAAAAAAAAATGGACTACCGCAATTAAAAAAAAAAAAAAAAATGACCACTGGATTTAAAAAAAAAAAAAAAAAATGGACTACCGCAATTAAAAAAAAAAAAAAAAATGACCACTGGATTTAAAAAAAAAAAAAAGTTGTCATCAGTTTTCTGTAATCACGGTGTCATTTGGACATAAAGTCCATGCATTACAATGCAATACTCTGTTCTGTTCGCTTTTCTATTTGGACTGTACGGATGTCCGGTTCAGTTTTGATGATTTTTTTCCCAAGAAGAAATGTAAATACTTCAAAAAATCCATATTCATTTTATAAAGAGAATGTATTTGACAACACAAGGATATTTTTGTTGGTTTCAGTGGTCAACCTTGTTTCCATTTCCATTCACTGTTTAATTTTTTTTTTTGTTTTTTGTTTGAATTAAACAAAATGTACGCTCTCTTTCCCAAAGGCAGACTGAAAACCTTGTTTAATATTTAATTTGGCAGCCATGCAAAGACTATTTTGCAAAACTAAATTCCACAGTGAACATTTTAACAGTTGACAGAAATTCAAATAAAACTTTGAAATTGTGTTCAGCTCTTGTCTTAGTCTTTATGAAACCTGCTCCTAACACAGGATGTGTGTGTGTGTCTTGATTTTATCATGCAAATAATATGTGAGGACGATGAGACGGACCAGACTGAAGAGTGGAGAGGTTACTGTGAATAGAAGTAAGCCGAGTGAAACCAGTGGCAGATAAGGGGGATGGGATACGACGGAGATGAAGGTTAACCCACTGTCACTTTAATCTGCCAAGGATAGTACGGAGTAACGCATGACATATTTTCTCTATGAGGATAATTAATCTCAGATTCATAAGGGCTACAATATCTGACTGAAATGGTTTAATATAGTCATACCATAACCACCAGATTAATTTATTCTCTCCCATACATTAAAATATAATTGATACAATTAAATATAAATCTACCCAAATAATCTATTCTCCATGCTTTAGATAAGGGCATGTCCACAGTCTTTTAGGCCCAACTGTGACACTGCTTTGGGTTATGGAGTGTCTTCTTTGTTAAAATGTAATTTCACTGATCCACCACCAGGGTAAGGGTTGACCTTTTAACACTTTCTTTGCTGTAGTAGAGTATGGGATATATGGAGTGATAAAATTAGTTCATATTAATTTTTGTTCAAATAATATAATTTAGTAATTTTATGACTATTTATTTTGCCTAGTTTATAGTCAGATCATTATGTTAATTTTTACTTGACCTGTATTGGCCAAGCTAATTTTAGTTAGTTTTAGTACTGTTTACTAGCTTCTATGGTATTTTAGAAGTAAGCTATTTTGCCTAACTGCTGGCTAGTGGTTTACACATTATTTCTGTAGGATGTTTTTGTTGTGGTTGATTTTTAGTTACAGCTGCTACGAGATGAGCTATTCCTTGTGCAGGTTAAAGAAAGTCTAAAAGGGTGAAGTTGTATCCAAACCAAGTATGACTTCACAGACGGTAACAGATGATGCAGTGGGTCTGACTTCCTGAATAACAGAACGACAACAGAAATACTTCAAAAACAAGTATAAAAACCTCAACTTACTTTCAGGTGACATGATAAGCAGCCATCTTGGTTGTGACTGTTACTTCCTGTTAACTGATGAGTAGGGATTATAATCTAAAGGAAGAGGTCCTATTCCCATGTCTTTTTAAACTTCCTTATACAATACAGTTTCTAAAAGTTTCTAATTACTAAAATACGTTTTGGTTTATATATATATTAATATTCCGTGTGTATTGATGTATTGAACCAAGCAAAACAAAAACTACACTCCTGTTACGAAAGGCACTCCTGTTTTAAAAGATACCTGCATGCACCTTACTATGCCACTAGAGGGCATTTATGAACCCTGCTTTTTGAATTATCCTGGTGTATACAAATCACACAGGCGGATAAAATCAAATAAAAAAGAAATCGTTTTTTAAACATAGTTCTGTTTATTTACACCATATTACCTTGCTTTGATGCACACAGCCATGAGGGGAAATGGTTTCAGGCGAACAAACTTTGAGTCCAGTCGTTTTCATATTAGTTATACTCAAAAGCAAAGTCCAAATGTACACAATACACTATGTTACATATTAAGATGATATGTACAAAAGAATACAACGAGGGGGACAAAGGGGCGTATCACATTTCAGACCAAACACAACAAACTGCAGATCATCTTCAGAACACGTCTGCTGCGACCCAATACAGTTTGTGGGTCAGTCTAGTTAGGTGTACCATATTCACACACTAGGAATGACCAGGCCAAGGACAAAACAAAACAGCTGAGAGAGAGTTAGTACGCATCGTCTCTCTTAGCAGCGTCCGTTACAGCTGTTAACGTCTGGGTTAGAGACAGAGAGAGTGCATAGACACGTCTGAGGCTGGATTTGTGCTTTTGAGCCAACGTTCTGCTCAGTTAGAACCATCCTTTTTGATGGCGACATCTTTGGGTCGGTGCCTTTATTCTTTCATCGACCACAGCAGAGGAGGGAGGAGGACCCACTATTGAGAGAAGCCCAGCCAGTGTGTAGAAATGCTGGCTTCGATTGAGGGGAAACAGAAAGATAAGACACGAGTGTGACACTGCAGAACCAAGAACACATTCCAGAAATCAGGCACTTGCAGAAGAAATCTTGAGGTAAGACAAGAGACCAAGTAATAATCCATCAGTGTTAGCGTTATCTTTACTTTCCTCTAGCTTTATTTCTTTCTTTTGGTCAGAAGGACACAAGTGGACCTCGTGGTTGTGGAAGCCTCACCTCCCGTTACTTTTTGAAGGCAGCCAGTGTTTGTGGTAATTTAGCAAAATATCCAATTGAGTTCCTTCACTGCAGCCTGTCATCACCACACTGTTTAAATGTGACTGTTTGGCCATAATTTAGGTGAATCACTCTGTTAAAGGGACAACCCCGAGATTCTTCTTCTTCTCTGTGTTGATAGACCAAACCAATGATCACTGAGCTTCTCTGAGCTCTCTGCAAACTGTCCATCATTTTTACCAAATAACATTTATTTTTATTTGCTACATGTTGATCCAACACTGCTGAACACGTACAGTACTGTGCCAAAGTCTAGAAATGCTGGAATTTCCTCAATAAAATTATATCTGCAGGTCAAATTATTTTAAAATTTGTGAATTTATTTCCATTTTGGAGAGAATGTCTGTTTTTATAGGAATAACAGTGTTTAAATAAAGTTCAATGGAGTTTTGAATCAATAGCAGGGAATGTGTCGCTATGGGGGTGGTCTTCAAAAGGGGGCACCGCAGAACTATTCTGGGAACCACTGCTCTCGTCTATATTTTTAATAAATATCTTACATGGTTAATTTCATACAATAACGTTTACCAGCACTTAACGTGACTTAACTAAGAACTTTAGCATTTAAACAGTGTTTATAGCACTCCCTGCTGGGCAGAGCGGGGAAGTTACATGCTTTTTCAGTCAATTTCTTGCATTCTAAGCTGTGCATAAATAAAATACAGGAAACTACAGAAAACAGTAACTTTGTACAAAAAAAATGTTCACTACAGAATGTCTTCAACCGACAAAGGCTAGTGTTTAGGTTTATGTTGGAGTGATCCACGGATAGGCTTCTTTCAGAACTTCTCTGAGTTACTGTACAAGTGGTTAATATCGAGATGTCCAATGACATCAGCCGACCGATATTATCAGCCAATATTATTCTAATTATGTAATATTGGTGAGAATCTTTATCGGTTTTTCCTCCAATAATGCATAATCTGGGTTTGGCCCAGATGGTGTGACCTAAAAATAGTTTTGAAGTAAAAGTGAAACTATTATTTGTATTGTGCACAACACCACACTGCACACAATGAAATATGTCATCTGCCTTCAACACAAACGGCTGCATATATCGGTGTTGGTTGATATTGGAATTGGCAAAAAGTTAATATCGGACGTCTGTAGTTGAAGGTATTCTCTGGACTTTAAATAACCCTGAAACGTGTTTGGAGTATGTACACCGGGTGACTTGGTGTCTGCTACTGTAGCGTCCACGTTTCTAATCAGGCTGTTGAAGGTCGACTTGAAAACCTAACACAGCTGCTCGATGGTGGACCGTGTCCAAGCTGGACCTCAGCTCCGCCTCAGTGCCCCTTGTTCTCTGCGTACACTTGGAGTTTCTTCATGTACTCGATTCTTCAGTGTACTTAAAGAAGCCAATCTTCGCTTCTATTCTCACTCACTTAATTCCCAAACGTGCTGATAACGCAGCTCTAACGTCGGGGTGGAGGCTTTAGCACAGTACTGTAACCATCATCAGAAACTGGTCTTCATTCTGTGACTATAGGTCTGTCTGCACAGTGCTGAGAACCAGAGGAAGGCCGTCCACGAGGCAACGTGGAGCGGGCAGACGCGTTTGTCTCGCCGTGAACAGGTACACCCCAGAGGTGACGCTACAATTAAAGTACTTTAAAAAATTTAATACAAAATATATATAATATATATATATATATATATATAAAGATAGGATAGAAAACAAAAACAATATATTAAGAGAAACATTTCAAGTAACGCCTCAAAAGAAATGACTGTGCACACGTTCGCACTTTTCTGTAAACGTAAAAAAAGAACTACAAAAAAAGGGAAAATTTTTGATAACATAATATTAATATTTACAAAGGTTAACTTAACAAGGCTTTGTACAAATGTTACAAAATTGTTCAACACAAACACCTCAGACATTGTCACGAATATTTTATAGCAAAAAAAAAACAAAACAAAAAAAAAAACACGCACATGAACAATATTAACAGGTAGACGTGGAGACGTGCGCATGTGTGTGTGTGTGTGTGTGTGTGTAACCTGTTTCATCTACTGTTGCGTTTAAGAGAGCATTACAGTGTCCATGGTCTGAGAAGGAAGACTGAATTGAATTTGACTGAAGTAACGTTACGTTGGCCAATCCGTTTTTATTTGTCTCATCTGACTCACTTCTGCTTTAGTGGAAAATCAGTGAGTTTTTATAAAAAGCACCATTTTCAATAGGGTCAAAAACTGTTTCTTGTTCCTTTCACAGGATTTAACCCTGATATGTGCATAGACTGTATATAAAATGGACAAAATGGTCATTTGTTTGATAGTAAAGGTTGCAAACTACGTGTTTTGTTTTATTATTTAAAAAAAATTGGTGAGAGTTGGGAAAATGATATTAATTTGTCTTCATATTTGATCAGGATTTGTATATTGAAGTATTATCTGCACGTATGCATTTTTTGTCATGGCGAATTTTCCAGATTATCCAAATGTCATAATCTGGGTAAAATACAACTTGAATTTCTTACTTGTATTCATACTTAGAAACTTAGTAACATTCCACCAAACCAGTGGAGCACTTCTAGTGTTTTATACTCATCCATTTTTTTAATACAAGTCTATGGATTTTGTCCTGTGTGAGCCAGGCTGGATGAACAGTTGTTACTGTGACGGTGACGATTCTTGGCCGTTAACTGTTAGCTGTGATGAGGTCTGTTGGTGTCTCGGTCCTGTATTATTTCTAGAAAAGCACACACATAAACACAATGAGAAAAGAAAAGCTTTGGCAACACTGGGATGGCCTTTGCCATGCAAACGGAGCTCATCGTGAAGGAGAAGCGTGGGCTGCTCTTAAAGGATTTTTTTTGGTACACTCTGTCAGTTTAATGACCTGCAGCCAGTCAGCAGCTCGGCCCACGTGGACCCCACCAAATCCACCCTAGATTTTTTTTTTGTCTCTTTCTTAGAGTGGAGGTTGGCTCACAGGTACTGGTGGAATCTGGATGGGGGAACTTGACGTGAAGTTGGTTCCTGTTCCAAAACCTCCACACCTTGTGGTCGCCCTGCTGACTTGACCTGATTTGGACGCAGAGGAGACATGGGGAACTCATTAAGCATCACCGGGGGTCTTTTCTCAGACGACTCGGTGGGAGAGGCCACCACCGTGTGTCGGCGCCAGGCTCGTCTCTTCCTTCTCGTCTCTGGGGACAGTGGTTTTCGCAGACCGACGCTCCGCAGATCGTCGGCGGAACCCAAAAGTCGAGCGCGAACCTGCTCGGCTAGAGACTGGCCGCCCTGACCGATCGGAGTGAAGGACGAGGCTTCACTGGGCGGCACAGCTGGTTTGGAGCGAGCCAGGCGTACGCTGTCCTGGCTGCTGGCTGAGGAGGGGTTGGTCCTGGAGGTCTCCCTCCTCACTCTGGGGGTCTCCTCTGAGCCTGAGCCCACGCCGTCGCACCGGGTTGTGGCCTCAGAGAGTTCCAGCAGGTCCAGAGAGCGGGTCTTGGCCTTCTCTGACCTCAGCTTCTTCCTGGCCAGCGTGTCACACTGGATCAGCTTGTGGGAGTTGAAGGAAGGCCGCGAGTGCAGTCGAGTGTGAGTGGTGGAGGAGGAGGAGAAAGAGGAGGACGAGGGCGTGGTGGAGCGAGCTCCTCCTTCGCTCCTCTCCGCAGAGTCTGGCGTGTGTGAGAGGGGTGTAGGCGGAGCAAGGACGTTTGTGGGTGAGAGGACGGGGGGTTTGTAGTGTGTGTAGAGGAAACTGCGTGGAGCTCCTGGCGGCTGCACGTTGACGGGTGCGGGCGCCGGGCGTTTGTCGGGTCTCTCCTGGGTGAGAGAGCGCGAGGCGAAGCCGCTCTCGTTGTCCGTCTCACTCACCAGCTCGCTGTGTTCGTCGTCGGCGTCCTCCCCTCTGCCCTCTGACCCCAGGCTGCGCCCTAGTGTGGAAAGGGTTGAGTAGCCGGAGACAATAGAGCGCGCGTCTTCCGGTGCACGCCACGGTGACCCTTTAACCTCTGCCCGTGTTTCCGCTTCCTGCAGCGACATCGGTGCCTGTCGTACTTCTGCCTCCTCCTCCTCCTCTTGTTCCAAATGTGGCGGGGTAGGAGTAACCTCGGCGACCGCTGGTTCTACTTCTACCTCTTTCACACCACTCTCTACCACTTCCTCATCTTCCTCTTCTTCTTCCTCCTCCTCGTCATCATCATCCTCCTCCCCCTCCGCTCGAGGAGCAGTGTCTCCAACAGGCAAATCCGTGTCCTCTTCCTCCTCCGTACCGGCTTTGTTGGGCTCGTGCTCAGAGTCGTCATCAGTGCTGCTGCCCACTCGCCGGGCGTTATGTCGTTTCCTGCGTTTGCGGCCCGTAACAGCTGACATGATGGACAAGGTCAGGAAGTCCTTTGCAGTGAGATCCTTCTTTGACCCCCAGGAGCCCTGAAAAATGAAGACGTGGAAAATTAAGCTAATTTATGATAAGTTTAACACATTTTAAACTAATTTAAATGTATGTTTGTTATTGGAGGGTTTATTGAATCCATCAGTGATTGGATAATTTCAAAAATGTAAATCCCATTTAGTAAAAAGGTAGAAAAGCAGTTACAGGTTCAGCCTTTACCTGCTGTAACTTCACTGCTAATAGTAACCAAAATGTCAATCTGAAGTCTTACGGTGAGACACGAGCGAGTGTCTCCGTTAGTCACGTACTGTGTGTGTTCTGTAACGAACAGACAGTGAGGAGACATTACCTTGGATTTAGCTGAGTCACTGTTGGTTGAGTCTGGGTAGGAAGAAAGAAAGAAAGAAAAAATATGAACCACGTCAGTGAAATTCTCTGTCATCAACAAAAGCCCCAAACAGTCAGTGGTGAAGGACATAAAGGCAGAAGGTGTGACATTCCAAATGTCAAAATCTTTTTCACAGCGAATCACAGGGAGAAGGGAACTGTGACCAATCCAGCAGGGATTTTATTATAATTAAAGTGAGGGAAACCCCTGCTGTGACATCACTGATGTGGTGAGAACCGGTCTGTCAATCAAAGGTGAAGCTTTTAGAGACACGTCCAGTTCCACTGATTGAATATTTTTGAATGTCTTTCTCCCTCTATGTCCTCAGTCATGATTGACCAAAGCACTTGTTTATTGACACGTGGTGGGGGGTGTGAGGGAGGGGCAGTTGTCCCTGAACATGAGGAGACCACAGCACACACACACACACACACACACACACACACACACACACACACACCAGTGATACCACCGACAATACTGATGATGAAGAGGTGAAGGAGGAAATGAAAGCAGTGTGAAATAGGAAAACTGTTTTTGTGTGGGCACATATAAACACACACACACACACACACACACACACACACACAAACAGGGAGGATTTAAGTCTCGTTATCAAAACCCAGTAGAAAAACCCAGAGCTTGTTCCTTCCTCTGGGGGTGGAGTTGCTCTTTAACAAAATGAAATGCCAAATACAATGTAACAGTCAATATGAGGTCATCTGCGCTAAGCTAACAGGTTGTGGGTTTCCCCTCGTTCCTCTCTGTAACTCGTCCTTTTTTCTCTGGAATCGGATGTGCGAGTGCTCTTATGAAGAAGAGTTTAAGAAGCTAACAGCTGTGTAAATCGTTAGCCGCTTCATTATCACGGTCAGCTGTGCACAGGACCAGAGCTGTTTCAGGAGGTTCCCTCAAGGTCTCTCAGACTAATGTTCCCTTGAAACATCCCTAAACCACGGCCAGATTTGATCGTCTTCTGGAGCGGACAAAGGAGAGCTTTGTGCGGACCAGTCAAAGTTATTACTTTGTACTTGGGGTGAGAGACTTCAGTACTGAAGTATGCGTTGGCTCATGTGACAAAACCAAATGACCAAGACGTAGCTGAGCTCTCCCTTTCTTTAGGAAAGAGTTTAAAATACATTGGATTTTTTTAATTAAGTTTTAGTAAAGTCTCTGTATATTTTAGAGGTCTTCACTGTTTTTCAGAGCAATGGCCTTCAGGGAGCAGTGCCCCCTATCTGTTAGGGTTAGGGTTCACTTCAAACTGACAGAGAAAAAAAAAATCAACCAAAAATGTCACGACTACCTTACAGTACTTTGGCAGACACCTTGTTGAAGGCCTCTGACTTAGACCCCTGAGCAAGTATTAATGGACTTGCACTATTACAACAATGATTTAGTAGATGTGGTGATTATACAGTTAAAATGAAGTACAGACCAATAACTCAAATTTACACACGCTGTACATTCTAGTGCTCTTTAGAAACTGCTGAATCGGTAGACTGTTAATGCATTTGTCAGTTTGGGGGGGGGCACACCTGGGAGACGTGATTGGACAGAAATCTCTGAGTGAAAAACACTGATTACTGAGAGGGGTGGGGGGGTGGGGGGCAAAAATCACCACTAGTCTTTGTACCATCACTCACACACCCATTATTTCATTTTCACAATACACAGGACCACACACACACACACACACACACACACACAGTGGCAGGGGAGTTTCCATTCCTACCGCAGTGGCTGCTCCAAAGGCTCAGCTAAGAAAAGAAAACCAAGAAGAAACGTAGAGAGAAAGTGAAAGGTGAGCAACACTCGGAGGAGAGAAAAAACAAAAAAGCAGAGCAGAGAAAAGACAGAAGTACAGGCATCCCATCAAACACAAAAATAAAAACACACACAGACAGTGAGCCAGTGGACACCAGAGTCCATTTTTGTCCACTGTGCCCTGTTGTGTTCTGTTCTGCTGGTAATCAGTGAGTTCTGGTTCAAACTGGGACAAATCCTTCTAAAGAGGAATCCCAATCAAGTGAGGAATGCAGTCGTCTGACTTCACGCCAACTCCGTCGACAGGAGAGGGCCGTTCTTTCAACATGTTCTTAATTGAGCTCAGTGACCATCACTACCCCTGCTGCATCCTACAACTGTTTGTTTGATCAAAATCAAGTTTATTTAATCACTTTTTGGCAGTTAGTAAAATCTGAAAATCTGAAAGTTTATAACTTTTTGGTTTCACTACAAACTGGAAAATCCTGTTTGGTTTTAAAAGGAAATGCCTCCTCAGTTTCCTGGGACGTTTAACGTGTTATTGTGATGTAGAAGACGGGGATTTCCTTCTTTGGGTTTATTACAGTGTTACAGTAAATAGTGTCCTCACCTGAGGCCTCCCCTAGTAGAGCGGTCCTGCCAATGTTGGACAGCAGGTGGTCAATGTTGGGGGCGGGCTGTACGTCATCTGTGTCCACTGGCGTCTGGAAGCAACAGGAACAATTACCAAAAATGAAAAAAAAAAAAAAAACAGGAAGAGTGATATCAATATTAACCAGAAAATGATTATTTGCAGAGAAACCACCACAGCAGCAGCTGGACTCAATGGTGCCATCTAGTGTTTAAATGTTGTATACCTGATAATCTTCTCAACGTGTTATGTGAATTTATGACTTTCAATTACAATTATAAACGCATTATTGTTGTTTAAATTATTACCAAGATTAAGTGTCACCTCTGGAAAAGTGACTTCATGGATTTAACCTCCATCAGGCAGAATCACTTTCATGTGTGTGTGTGTGTGTGTGTGTACAGTTCAACACATCACTCCCTGTAAGCAGTATAATAAAAGTTATGACTGAGACTGTGATAATAACCCAGCACATTAGCATTCATATGGATTTGCTATAGAAGACACATTTTACACGTCGCAGCTGGAATTGCTGGAATTATAACAACCACAATAAAAACTCAAATTGAGGCGGTTTATCCATAAAAACTAAATAAGTCTCAATTAAGAAGAAAAACTGTCTGCTGTAAAGACTAAGCTGCTGAGCTATTTTGTCACACTTGTATTCCCGGGAGTGAATAATCCACCAGGGGGCATATTTAATCTGTTTAAAAATAACAATTTAGCCTAAACTTGTTTAATATTGTTATTTATTTCAGTGTTCCTGCACGTCACAGGAACAAGCCTAAATCTACTGCCATTTTTATTCCTTCATATCAGCTTTAAGGAAAGTGAACTCCTTGTCATTGTGACACTGCACACAACGAAATATGAGCTCTGCATTTTACCCATCACCAAAGTGAACAGGGGGGGCAGCATAAGCTGTGTTTAACAAGGAAACACCCATGGGTCAAAACAACAAGCATTTCAAAACCCATACCTTTTCATCCTTGTCCAGCTCTTCTGTGAAAAACCAGGTGCACTACAACAGAGGACAGAGAATCACATGTTCAACTGCACAATATTAACAGAACTAATGTAAACCAAATCAGAGGTGTGGTGTCTCTCACATGCTGGATGAGTGTCTCCACAATCTTGTAGCGGTCAGGCATGTGTGTGACCATGTCTTTCATGTTGTCCTCAGACGTCCGAACCAGGGTCGGTCCAAACACCAGAGCCAGGTTACGAGGCTCCATCTGTAGAGGAAGAAAAATAAGGCGTCGATTTCATGGATGTCACAGCAGAGATACAGAACTCAACTGAATGAACGAGTTCTTCTCCAAAAAGCCAGAAAAACAGACCTTGTTTTTATCCGAGTTGTCAGCCACTGTTTTCAAATGATTAACCAGGAACTTCAGTGTGTGGTAGTAGTGATCAGGTAGGTCTCGGATCTAGAAAAGCAAAACAGGAGGAATTATTATGGTACAACTTTAGTCAAAATAACACCAGAAAGTGTATTAATGTGTAAAAACCAACCAGTTTCTTCATGGTCCTTAATCGTTCTGACGCATTTTCCATCCGATTGGCATCGATGAAGTCGTTGTATTTGTCTGTGAATGCATTTGAAATAGAAAATATATATTTCAGATATATTTAAATACGAAGTCAGTTTTTGGCACGCAGCGCTGCACACTTGGTCTCACCGTTTGTGAACAGCGGCTCTGGAAGTTTCCTGAAGAAAGATTTGAGTAAACTGCTGACAACATTGAGATCTTGCCATTTCTGTTGAGCAGAAAACACACACACAGGGAGGGTCAGAGGTCAACGTATTTTTCTCAGGCATGCACATCATACATAAGATAAGGTATTATAAGATAAATAAGAGTAAAATTAATTAAAATCAATAAGTGCTTCTTTTTGATTCATTCATGTGTCTTCTTCCTCCTTCCCTGCAGAGCTTGCTATACGTGTAAATTAAATGTCCTTGAAAATATAAAAAATACAGACAGAGGGCTGTCTCCCTGCAGATGGACATACAGTACCAGCACACATATTTATCTGAATTATTTATTTATTTTTAGGGAATTTAATTTTCCCCCTTCTCTCCTTAAATCCTCCTTAGTCTCTTTTTGGTGTGGTGGATGATATTTGAATTTGTGATATAACGTATCTGGTTTATGCCTGTTGCCACTTCTACTGTGCTCAGATGGGAGTCCATGTGTCTTTGTGTCTCCTCACCTCCTCTGCAGGGTTGATGTCCACTCCCTTGTTGAGCTGATCCTGAAGCATCGACACCATGGCGTTATTCCCAGGGACCCTGTAGATTCCGGTGTATTCCAGACCCATCTCTTCTACCAGACCACAGCAGATCTCCACGATCAAGGGGATGAACTGAGGGGACAGTGAGGTCACAATTTAACCTTAGGTAAACAACAACAACAACAAAAACTAACAGTAAATCTAACCACTGTAATTCACCTTGTTATTAGCGCCCGGCTGACATTCGTCCAACCTCACGCCAAAAGCTTTGGGTCCAGCCTTCTTCGTCTTCTTCATGATGTTGATGCCCCAAGGTGACTTGGGTGGGCTGCTTTCATCTGTAAGGAAAAAAAAATCGGTTCATACCAAAAGCACTGGCTGCCTAGAAGATGGAGGACTAATAACAAACCAATAATATTCATACAGCGCTGCAGGGCTGCTTGTACTGACGTTCATGGAGGATAAGGACTCCACTTTATTTTCTGATCAGTTCAAAGGATCCAACATTTGGTATTTTGGGTACAAGGAGTTTAGAAAATGGCTACTGCCAGTAATCACTCCTCTTTTTCCTCTGTGTTAAAAGTTGTTGACAGCAAAAATAGCAACAGCTTCATGTTGTTTGTCCCTCATACTGACCTTTGCCCTCCGGTTTAGGGGAACGGGGAGCTGCTGTGGTGTTCTCAGTCTTGGTGAGCAGGAAGGGAGGCTTCATTCTGGGCATCCTGGGAGAAGCCTCTGGTTTGTTGCCTGTTGGACTGCAGAGGGAGCCAGAGAGACAGTTTTAATTCTGGCCACTACCAATGACGTCATGTGTACAGTGTCATCAATGATCAGGTGACTCACCTTTGTTTTCTATAGTCATTTAGCTTCTTATTGATGAGGGCCTGTCTGGAAAAGCCGAGCTCCTGTGGACAACAAACAAAGAAAGGGACAAAAAAGGACACCATGATTCTGAGGACTTCTTCACCTCTGATCAAAACAAACTGCAGGTCAGGTGGACGTGTCCTCAGACCTCGCTGTCTGTCTTGCTGTTCTCCCTGATGACCTTTATCCAGTCCAGCATGTCGTCCCGGTCCTCCGCCTGCAGCAGGTACTCACAGAAGTCCTGAGTGGTCAGTCTCAGCGCGTGCTTTCGTTTGGTCTCACTGTATGCAATGTCCACCAAGCAGCCACGGATGCTGATTGGCTCCTCGTCGTCTGCAGAGCCGCCAATGGTGGCGCCACGAAGTACTGCCTCCCTCTTGTCCTTGTAGAGGAAAAGCGAATGCGAGCGGAGCACCGAAAAAACCCGTTTCCACGGACGCATGCCGCTGCCCACCTTCTGTGAAGAAAACAGGAAACGATTCAAATCAAGGTTTTGAATCTTCTCAGCTCTCGCCCACAGTCATGTTGAGCCTCCTTACTTTGCCCTTCTCCGTGAGGATCTGTTTGAAGTGAAGCCATCCTTCTCGCCGTACGTCACTGTAGGTGATGTTCCCCAGCTCTGAGGTGGAGTGGCGTTTTGACCGAACCTCCTCTGCTGTCCCAAGGTTGTCCAGTGACTGAAACGCACAAAAGTAAAAATAACTTTGACGTCACTTCTGGACAAACAAAAGCACAGAACTATTTATCTTTGGTACTGGACATCTGGTATTAAAACTATCACCGTCACCGCTTTTACAGAGATGGAACATTTCTGTGGTTATGTTTCGACCAAACAAACTGGTCAAATTGATTGAACTTTGTTGATGTTCAAGTCAGTCCTCAAATCAAAGCTATCAAGAGCTCCACCCTTTTCACTTTTATTCAATCAAAAAAACAAAACTCACCCCATCTGTGAAGAAGCTCTTCACTCTCTTTGGAAGCCTCCTGTGGAGAACAACAACAACAACAACAACAACAACAACAACAACAACAGTTAAGTTGGTCCGTACTCAGACTTAATTCAACACAGATGCAGTTGTGTCTTTTCAGCAGCACTCACGAGAAAACACGGCCTTCGTCCCTGAATGTGTTGAGTCCTTCGTCACATGACTTGGAGCGCTCCGTGGTGATGGCTAGAAGATAGGAGGAACGGCGACTGGATTTAATACTGCCTGCTTGTTGAGAGGGTGGATGAACAGAGAGTGGAAGAGATGGAGGAGAAAGACAGATAAAAAAGAAATGTAAAAGAGAGAGAGTGAGAGAGAGAGAGACAGAATGTTGATGTAATGCCAATCACCACAACTGTCGGTGTTGGATTAGCAAATGGTTAAGTTAGAGGGGCCGCAGGAGGAGGAGGGAGGTGTTGGTGGGGGGGCGGGTGAGGAGGACGTGAGTGGTCAGTGTTGATGAGGGTGGATATCTGGGAGGTGGAGGTGTATTCAAGTACTGCTAGCTCACCACTGACATGCAAACATCACCACTACGGTCCCCTGTGTCCAACATGCGTTTGGACTCAGTACCATGCCACATCCCAGTGTACCAACATCTCCACACTGGACTGAGACCCAGCCTTAGTGCAGGTGCACTGATTTGTCATGCACAAAAATAATGACGTTAATAAATCCAACATGCAAACAACAAACACCAGCAATTCTCCACTGATTATTAGATAAAAAGAGTCAGGTTAGGCACCACCACCAGGTTACCACCAGCTGGTAGTATTTAAATCTGGCTCATATCACAGCTCAACTCGCCAAGCAAAACCTAGTTAGTGGGTTTGACAAACGTGTGTGGCCCAGAAAAAGGTTTTGGTTCAAGGTCCGTCTGTTTGGACACCTGATGTTGGTCACTGAAGGCCAGTTATCCACTGTTTATGTGGTTTAAAGAGATACAAATCACTGGCTTGGACCAACTAACTAAATTTGTGTAGAGAATGTTTTTTTGATGTATTCTTCATGCACCACATTTGTAAAAGATGTGTTCAGTTTCATTGTCGTCTTGATTAAGACTTTTTTGTTTTGGGTCATCTTTCACAAACTTATGAAACTATCTAACTTATGAAACTGACAGACTTTCTTCTGGCTGAATTTATGCTAACGGTCCGTTTTTATTAGATATTTGCCTGAAACAATTGGATTGGATTATGTTTCAGATTTAATTCAACTACAACGTGTTTATTCTGTAAACACTGATACAACTAATACGTAGTTATGTCTTGCACTGACTCATATAAGCTATTACATGTAGCCATTTTAGTTATATATTTATGGATCACCTTTAGCTTTCATCATTCTGTGCTAATTATAATAATTTCAGAGCTAAACGTCCTCGACCAATAGCCGAACAATATAATGACTTTATTGGTTAAAGTCATTATTAAAGGAGTCATTACAATTTAAAACACCAAGGACAAAAAAACAAAGGGTTATCAGTTTCCACTGTACGTTAGCAGAAATACGTAATGTGTCTGAAACTCTGTGGCTACATGCAGAGGGAAACCAGAGAGGAAGGCGCAAAAGGAAGCACTCACTGCAGTCATGTGAGAAGAGCCTAGTGAGGGGAAAGGTGAAGGTAGGGGAGGCGGGGCTGGTGACAGCGGCGGGCGCCGAACTCATGCCACTGGACACCACTGAGGACGCCGGAACATGACGGGCACGCAAATCTGCGCCGGGGCTGGTTGGCTCATCTGTGGGAGGTTTGTAGGAATAAAGGAAGCAGCAGAGGAAGGAGGAGGAAAGGAAAAATGAAGAGAAGAACAAGATAGGAGGATTGTAATTAATGTTAGAGAGGAAATGTCCCGGAGGGAAGAGGAGGTAAAGGAAATCGTCAGGGGTTAAATGAGGATAGGTCAAGGAGACACGGGGTATTTTAAGGATGTGGCACTGCAGGGTAACCATCAAAAATACTCAACAAATACTGTGCATTTCAAAACATCCTCTTCTTACAGCCTGAAAAGCTTCATCACAATCAACACAGGCGACAACCACAATCAAACTTAGATTCCAGTGGGACACGAACAAACCACAAAAACAAACATCGACATTCATTTAAATAACAAAAAAAAGAGGCTTAAATAAGTGCAGATGTTGCAGGGAAGCATAATATAACAGCAAATATACCAAAAATGTCACACAGATGTGAGAAAACAAGCAAATATACTTTACATACAGGGCAGAAGCAGAGAGTCCTGTTGCGTTAAAGGCACCATTATGTCTGTTTGGAGATCAGACGGACTGTTTCCTTGTTTCAGTTCTTTACAGATCACCTTGACATGTTGCAAATACCGGGTCGTGGGTAAAAATGAAGTACGGGTGTGGTTTCTGTGAATACCCTGGGAACATTATCCCTCCTTGGTATATTGACCAAAGTGTGTGTGCTGATTACTGTAGTTAGTTAATGTAGTGTGTTCCCTTCACAATCAAAAATGAACCGGGGTTTATATTAATATGAATGAAACAAACAAATACACTTTTGTTTAAAGGACTTTTTGTCTCTGTAAGAAATGTTCACTATAATTTTCAGGACAATTTCAATAGATTTTAAAACATTCATGGAATGACCTATTTTCCACTAATTCTTCATGAATCTATAGCACTATATGATTTGGCTGATCAAAGTGTTCAAAGTCAAAGACAAATTTGGAAATAAAAACATTTTTTATCTATGAAAATAACAGAGCTATATTTCCACATGTGCTTGAGACATGTCTTAAAATGATTAAAATCAGATATTTTCTAATCCTATCACCATCTTTTTCACTAATTGATTACATTGTATTACTGGTTACTGAGACAATATTGTTTTAGCTTATTTACAGCAAATATTTGCTAAATTCTTTAGACATTTTAAAGCTATATTTAGGGCAACACCTACCCATTCTTTGCTTGGATGTTGGCAGTCTCAAATGTTTAATCATCATCATGCTAATTAATATGCACTCAGGATGATTATTTGGCTGCCTTTAGCTACTTCTGGCCTATAGTTTTGGCTAGCTTTTGTTATTGTCATACTCTGCTTCATCTTTGATTGTGTCTTTCTTGCTATTTTTCTTCTAGCTACTTTGCTATGCTTTGACTTAAGATACCACTTATTCCTACAACACTTTTGAATGTCTAGTAAATAAAAACAAAGAGTTATAATTGTTATTGCTATTATTATTATCAATAATAATAATAATAATGTATTTTCTTGCTTAAAATGCAGTACCATGTGGAAACGACAGGGGGCAGCAGAGCCTCAGACAGCCTTAGAGACTGCAGGCACTCTGACATCCACCCCACAGACCACCACTCTGTCTCTTAAGCACATTCCTGTCTTGGCATTTTGCAGATTTCTGTTAAATCTTATTCCAGTTTAGATTTTACCTCGAACTCCTTACATGTAAAAGAAAGAAAGAAAAAAAACTACATTAACTGGTGTTGGCATCAATCACATTCCCCTCATTTCTTTGTGTCTTCTTCCCTCCAACCACCTCTCATCTTCCACCCATACGGTTCTATTCTTCGCTCCTTTGCACACTGGTGTCCGACATGAGGCGGAAAACATTTCTAATCTGGGGCGAGGAATCTGCCTGTTTACAGCATGGCCCAGAAATAGTCGGGCTGTGGGTTTAACAAAGGCTGTCATTAAGGGGCAGCCAGAGCCAGAGAGTGAGTTCAGACCCATGAGGCAGACATGAGCCAGCAGAGGGGGGCAACACGCCGCACCACACAGCTCCTCTAACTGCTGCCCTGTGTC